GTCGTCGTCGTCGTCGTCGTCGTCGTCGTCGTCGTCGTCGTCGTCGTGTGCAACGGTGTCGGGAATGAATCATCGATGCACAATGTCATAATGGCGCAGAAATGCACTCAAAAACCAAATTGACACTCACTTTTCATCGCACCGTTGAAATTTTGAGCAATTTTCAAGATAATTCACATACTTTAAATATTTCGCAAGCAGTTATACCACGTGCATCTAGAGACTGACTTCAAGCACAACGACGACGATGACGACTACAACGACGCCGACGTTTGTTAATTACACATTGGGAAATGAGTCTCTTGAGCTCATTCTTTTAACGCCACATATATTTTGATCCATTTAAATTATCGCATTTAATTTCGTGACTTTGACCAAACGCTCCCCAGGCACATGTCATAAGCATAACTTAAGGATTGACATCTTTGGAACAGACAGAAAAATAACAACCAAACATAACGACAAAGACAGAGAGGAAAACACAACTCCCGACATGTCACTTCAAAACGCCAATTCCATTATTTGTATGCAAGCAAATCCACTACAATTTCTGAGTGTCTAGCCGAATGCAAAACAAAAACAAAAGCAGAAAAAAAAACACTTGAAATAAATTTCCGCTACTTAAAAGTCAAATAAGCTAAAATTGAATCGAATGTACGATTTATGAGCTGTGCAAATTCACTCACATGTGTTCAACTGCTGGCCGTCCATAAGAATTACTTAATGAAATCAAACGAAACAGCAGGAGATGACGATTTATACCCAGAACGAGCGAAGAGTTTTTTTTTAATTCTCTTTCTCTCTTTGGTCTCGTTGAAATGTTACCAAACGATACTTTTTTTTTCAACTCGCGTTTATTCGACGATCAATTTGTCGCTTTTTTCATACGACTCAATTAAATATGCAGCTGGCGTTTTTGGAACACAAATAAAAATAATGAAACAAATTTTGAATTAACAAAAAAATTATAAATATAACTCAACGCAATGAAATTTTGACGAATGAAATAAAAACAAATGACGATGTCGGCGACAACGACGACGTTTGCACAGGAAAAAATTGTAGCTAACTGTTTTCATTTATCCGTAGCGAGTACGAGGAAATCGAAAAAGTACGTTTTAAGTAGACAAAAGGTGACAAATCGACACATAAACGAATGTCAATAACAAAACAGCATATCGTTTATGGCGAATTTCTGATTCATTCGAGGCATTTCATTGATTCGTATCCGATTTAGTCGATCACGAACAGTTAAAACATCCAGTAGCGAGTCGGTTGAAAACAGACTTTCTGAGGTGTGTGAGAGTTTCGTAGATTTTTTGTTGTTTTGTATTTGTTCTAACTATCTGTAAAAAAAATGTATATCGATAAGAATGAGTCAGTACGATAACGTGGAAGATTGTGGCGCTACGTCATTATAAAAGACAAACAAAGACGGATTAAGAGAAAGAGAAAAATTGTGCAGAAACATTTTTTAAACGGCGAGTAACAGATTTCAAACGACTCGAATTCATTCGTAATTGTCGGTGGGATAACAAATCAGTGTAGAAAAAAAAATATAATTTATGTTCCGGAGACAAGTGCGATGCGGTCTCTCACAATGTGTGACTGTGTATAAATGTCGCTTGAACCGCACCGCATCGTCTACTCAACAATTCGTTGACGAAGAGATTTCAGTTTAATTGAATTTATGGTCGTTGGTTTTTGTGCTGTGTGCTTCGCTCTCTGTTTCGCTGAGAGGAGATGTGTGTGTTTGTGTGGTGAGGTTTTATTTTTTTCTTTTCCACTCTAACACCCGGTTCGCTTTTTAGTTAGTTTCTTTTCGCTCATATATGTCACATACTACAATTGAAAGAGTGCTGCGATTCCGGTGCTGTGCTATTTATTTTTCTTTGATACATGTTTGAACACGGTTCAGCTAACAATGTGTTCAGTATTTATCTGCCAGCCTGTGTATAGGGAGCGGTACCACTAACAAGAACCGATTCAAATGAAAACAAATTCAAACGATTTTTCGTGTTCAATCGATTTAGATGTTGGCGCATTTATACTCGCCAGTTCACATACAGACCACAACTGAGTGCAGACATTCACAGCGTTTCCGTTATGGAATTGTTCAGTGTCAAATTTTTCGCCCTCTGTTTATTCTATTTTATTTTGGTACAATTTATTCCGCAAATTATCGAAAAAATTTCATGGATTTTCGAGTGAAAAACAAAAATTTCAAGTGAACAAATTTTAAAATAGAAATCGAATCAATATCACTTGAATTTAATCGAGGCAATTGTTTTCAATCGATTTTATTGATTAACTGGAATTGTGAATGTGATTTAGTGAATAAATGTAATTGCAAATAACATCGTGTGCGGTGCACAATCTGAAATCAATTGAATGAATCAAAGAAAACATGCAAAACGGATCATTATTATTCTCGTCAGAAGAAGTCGGTGTATTTTGATCATTATTCATATGCAAAAAAGTGCTTGTGTGGCGAACATACTTCAGAAAAGTGGCAGCAAATATCTGACCGCGTAATTGTTATGACTGCACGCGTGCTTGATTAAACACTCCATATGTTTCGGATAAGATTTCCATAAAAACCGTGCTCGGCGTCGGCACAATCTCTCGCTCATTGGACTTATAATTAATTTTCAAACTCAGCAGAAAACTCAAGACTCAGTCGTTCAACAAGTCAGCAAGTCAAGCCTTTAAGTAAATAGCCAAGAATAAAGTTATGGCAAAATTTTAGCGATAACAAAAAGTGTAAATATAGACAAATCGACAGATTCTCGCTGGAATCAATTGAAAGTAAATAGCATCGAGTAAAATTTGAAAGATTATAACACTTTGAGTCATCCGAAAGCAAAGAAAACTGGAACTGGTCAATGCAAATAACTGGTCTTGTTAAAGCAGCGGTCGCATGAATCATATTAAATTTTGCGGTTTTTTTTTCTTTCTACGAAAAAAAACATTTACATCGACATCATAATTCTCAAGATTGTGTGAATATTCCATCCCAAAATAGAGGTGAGCGATTATTGTTATTGTTTGTGTTTGTTATTTAAATATTTCCGCAATATTTTGCGAGAGTGAGACAACGTTTTTTGGCTGAAGCCATTGCGCTCCAACAATTCAACTTCCAACGACTTTGAATCGACTTATTTGGCACGAAGTTTATTTTCTGTGCTCAACACTTTGCTCATGATGTGAAAAACTTCATACTCTCCCCGATCAACGAATGCGCATTGTTTGTTGTACGTGTTGAACGAACTTGTTTACAATTAAGAGGCTACTTGAACGAAATTTAATACATTCGATGACGTCCGGTGGTTTCTTTCTTCTTATTTCTGCTGAATTGAAGTCATAACAATGACGATAATAGTAAAGTCATTGAGAGATTGGCTCGCCTTTGTGACTTTACATGATTTATGCTGATATCCATATCGACCTTTTGCAAGAAAATAAAAACGGTTTCGTTTTATAAAAAGAATATAATATTCCGATTTGATTGATAACTTTCTTGTAATTGGATCGCAGGTTTGGCTTGTGAACCGTCCCTATTATGGCATATATTTGATGAGTTCGCACAACATTTCTCCTACCTGCAAATTGAATTGTAAACGACCGTAAAAATGATTTCTTCAAAAAAAAAAATGCCGACCCGTAGTGTATGCAAACACTATGGTAATCCACCATTCATTATGCGATTTTATTACGGCAAAACCAATTTTGGTCAACATAAAATCGGTTTATTCATTTCGATTCAGTGCGCTTATGCGGCCCCATACCGATTTAGTCGTTAGTCGTTTCGGTCGTCAATAAATGTAACAAACTAGTTATTTTATTGGTATTACATTGTTGCGGTGACATAAAATCCATTTAATTTTCATAGATATTTTAATAAGACATCAATAATAATTGTTGGCCTGAACATTTCGAGATTCCTACGTGTATCATTAAAATTGATTGGTCGTAGTGGGTCGTGGGCGCGATCGTACATATCAATTCACGGAGCGAAGCAATCGTATTTGGATTCCGTGCGGAAACGGGGCTGTAAATGTTTCATCTTAAGAATTGATCTGTCGCACAGCGAGAGATAAATCGAAACAAATTCAATTGAAAAGTGACAATAATTGACGTTAACATCCACGCATATGCACAGGCACACACAGGCACCGAAAATCAATGCTCCTTTCTCCGTTCTTTTGTTTGGCCCATTTCAAACGCGTACATTACAAAGTCCGCATCGAATAAATATATTTCAATCATTTAGTAATTTTGTTCTATTAAATCAATAAAATCCATAAGCGTTGGTCGTAATTGTGAGCATTGACGAATGCGAACGCCCCACATTCAATCAACCGACACGCTTGTCGAACACAGCCCCAAAATATGTTGGAACAAAATTGATGCTGTATCTGCATGTAAATAAACATAATTTTACTGCGGATTTATGAGTCATAAAAGCGATTTGGAGCGCGGGTATCTCCCGATGAAATCTCCCATTTCTTTTTCCATCCAATGCTCAACTGACGCGAGCAAACTGTCCACTTTCTCAGAAAAACTAAACAAGTCACTTTAGGCGGTTTGTCATATTTCCGCCTATATTTATATATGAATGTGCGGTTTTTTCTCATTCTCATATCAAAAAGCATATTAGTCATACTGAACTCCCGTTTTCACCAAACTCCCAGCGTATGTCTAACCGCATTTATTGTTCCAGTGTCTAGAAACGACCGATATATATATAGTTTGTTCTTCGTGATGCTGGTCATCACAAACCAACACGCAAACAGTAAACTTCATACACATTTCTCTTCATTTGTATGAGCATTGAGCACACAACAGTATTCAACTTAATTTAGCATTCGTATGTGTTGATGACTGATGAAGATCACTTGTGTGTTGTGACCTTTTAATTAATTTTAATTTGGAACAAACTCAAATACTCAACGAGTTACAGTGCACATACACTCTTCAATATCTCGCCCATTCTTTGATGAACTTTTTTCAATTTCATACACAGAAAATTTCATTTTGTTCAATTCATTTTACCATGAATTTTCGTTTTAATCAGCGAAACTTTTTTTTTTAATTTTACAATTGATTTACTAATTATCGTCAACATCAGGTTTTTTGGTAGCCAAATAGTCGAGAGCGCGTTGAATGGCCAATGGAATTGGTGGTGGTGTTGGCAAATGGAAGCCCATAGGACGATAGCCATTTTCATCAGCCACAAAACTGATGGCCAAAGGTTCACCATTCTTTGCAATCCAAGTGGTTGATCCTTGTACAATTTGACCAGCGACTCCTCCTTCATTAGATGCAATTCCGTTGCTTGACTCGAATTGAACTTGATAATTTCCGTCCAAATCTGATGTTATGGTTTTGGATTTAATCACCGCTATTTTGTCTGGCTTATGTGCGCTTAAGTCTGGCTTATTTTTCGTTGGCTCTTGTTTCTCTGTGGCAGCTTCCAATTCCTCGGCTTTCAATTCTGGTTGTTCTGTGCTGGCCAGCTCAGGTTTTTGTTCTGGCTTCGGCTCTTCTTTAGCACGTCTAGCTGCTGACACACATGCCACCAACAATGCAACCAACACGATCTATCGAAAGAACAAAAAAATGGTCATCACTAAAACACATTCTAATCCAAATTAATTGCATTTCACTCACTGTTCTAAACATTTTGCTCATATTTGTTTCGCTAAACGTTCACAACTTCTTCGAAGACCTTCGCGTTTGACGTTCGATTAAGTAATAGCTGCATTCATGAAAAATTCATACGACTTTTATAGCCGAAAAACCTGATTCGATGGATTTCGATTTGCTAAAGATCGAAAGTGAACACGAGTTTCTATCGAAGCGAAATCTAAGCTCAAAATGTTAAAACCATGTGTGAATTATTTCGACAAACTCATCGCTAAAAGAACAGCTCATACTCGGCCACAATAAAATTGCAAATTTGTTTGTCAAAGGTCAGTAGAGTCTTTATGTCGCTTAAAATATGGGCTGACGAACGGAATGTGTTGAAGGCATCTTCAATCAAATTAGCGACAAGGCAAGGATAAACCGGTTTTTCTTGAATACAAAATTGATTAGAAACACATTAATCACACATAAACATTTCTTTAACAGACTCTAAATTTAAGTCAAAGACACTATTTCCTTGGTGTCAATTTACAAGCGCTCTCTATTTCAAACGCTATGTGCTGTTTAAGCTTACAGAAAGTGGTACGGCTCCCATGCAAAAAGCCAAACGTGATAGCAGTGATCTTGTTTGTTCAAACTTGATCTTAACAAATATATCCAGTTGATTACGCTTCGCAGAAACTATCTTTAGCTGGAACAAGAGAAAAAAATGCTCGGTTCAAAAATAGCCAGAAATTTATATGGAAAATTTCTCACTTTGTTAGCATTACGTTGTTTTTTTTTTCTTTTATTTTACCACATTTTACTAAATTGTTCTCAAGCCAAACGTTTTTAATTTGTTTTAATTGTTATTGGCCTAAGTGTTACGTACAGCAAATAGGAATTTAAAAGGAAAAAATTATGTGCAGTCGTCGAGATATTAGTAACGGAGCTCATAAAACAAATACCAAGCCTATAAGCCGAGTCGAGTCGCGTCGTTCCGAGTCGTATATGGCAATGAGTCGCTTCGGTTCGGTTCTGTGTGTTTGTGTCGATGTTCATTAACAGTTTCGATGATATCGTTTGTCGTTGCTTCGGTTTTGTTATTCTTCTTTCATTGATGCGTTACATGAGTTATAACGAAAAACATTTGTTCTATTATAGTTCAGTTAATCGTTATGTTTCCGAGACAAAAGACGTAAAATGTTCTATGCGCTGCACGCGTAACCAAACGCATTGAGAAAAAAAAACAAAGACCATTTTAAATAATAAAACCATAAATATAAAAAAAAAACCGTCGATGATTGAGAGAGAGAGAGAGAGAGAGAGAGAGAGAGACAAAAAAATTGTTCTGTGATTTTTGTGACAAATTTTTTAATGAATATTACTTTTGTTCAAATTGTTTGTTTTTTTGTGCATTTTCAAAAATTGACCGGTTAAAAAAGCCGTTCACCTTTGAATGTGACAATAAACTATTCACGTTGAGTATATTGAGTGTGATTTATGTCGTGACATATATAAAAATTTGATTGTAAACGTAACATACGCAGAAAGAAGCGAGTAAATATTGAGTGCAGTGCACATCAGAGCAAATATTGTTGAGTTGAAAGTTTTTCATTTATTTTTCAACTTTTTATTGATTTTGTGCTCGAATCGAGCCTACTGTTTCAATCGATTGTGCGAACCACTTGAATGGCAATGCAAACAGATCGGAAGCGATAACAATAGTAGCAGCGGAGAGTCGAAAGTGTTGGTTTGTGCATTTGCCAGAGAACACAGAAAGAGGGAAACACACACACACAGAGAGAGAGAGAGAGAGAGAGAGAGACGTTGAGTAAACGAGACGAAAAAATAAATCAAATAGTAAACAATGCGCGATTACTGGTACCCATTTCGACACAATAAGAGGTAAATGTACGAATCCACGTGCTTTGTTACACGGAGATAGGGAGGTGCGGCAGGAATTCGGTGTGCATGAGCATCCGAAAAAAGTCGCGTGTGTGTTTCTATTGTTTATATTTGTCGAACAGTAAAACTGAGCATGAAACCAATTCGTAGGAAGCAAATAAAAGAAATAGAAAAAAACAACAACAATACTCTACGGCAATGGTTGCCTTTTTCGGTGTTTCGAACATCATAAAATTGAGCAAATAGACAAATTGGATGTATCATCTCCTGGAATTCCGATTGTAAACAACAAATGAATGAACATGTATCGAAAGAAGAGATTCGATTTCATTGGAAGTAAAAGTTGTGTTGGAATGAAGCATTGACGCTTTTGGTTAATTCAACCGCATCGTCATTGTCCGCATATGGGGAAAACTACAACTGCTATGACTTGATTATTTCTCAGAATATTTACTATTTTAATTCAAAAATGCTCCGGTAGGAATGTGCAATCGATGTGATGAATCACGTTTGGTCATTACAAAATCGTTCGTGACGCCGATCATTTGAATCAGTCGAAGGTATTAAAAATTCTCAATGAATACGACGAACAATATGATACATAGCACAGCTATCCTTCGTTCGTTCGCATAGCAAATGATACACGCTTTGTCATGCTACTGTTGTTACAATGAGTGAGTCAGAGTCACCCGTTAGTTTCTATATATCGGAGAAAACCACTCATAGAATGCCGTAGCAGCTCAACGCACGACGATGTTACAGCACACACAAACTGTGCAGAAGAGAGCGAGCGACAAAGCGAATTTGATGCTGAACACAAAACCATTGCATTTTATTGAAATAACTCGAGTCGAATGGCAATTACTGTTATTGTTATAATGCATATTTGGAATATTCCACAATCTCCATATAAACGTCGTCACATTACTACCCAAAATAGCGTGTAAATGCTAAGCAATGCTCAGTTTCATTTTCAATACATTCACTGACCATTCAGAAACAACGACAACTTTTATTCTTTTTAAATTGAATGCGATGCAGAATGGGTGGGTAACGTAAATTGAGCATGAAATCATATCGATGATATTCAATATTTCCAATGTTGTCATTGACTTTTGTGCACTGTCTTTTTCTCGTTTGCTGCTCGCATGCTGTGCATGTGTATATTCTCTGTTTCCTACACTGTGCCCGTTCACAAGAGCTAATTGCGGAACAAATGTGTGGGTGTGCGGCGGTGTACATTTGGTAAACAACCAGCAGCATTCGTTGAAACCTGAAATGACGACAATAATTTCAATATAACTTGATCGGTTCTTGTTATTTTTTTTTCGTTGTTGTTTCTGTTTTTAGTTCTAGACGATACACGTGCTTCAGAGACCATTATAAACAATTTGATTCATTGTATTCTTTTTCGCCTTTACAGAGTCGATACAACTTTTATCTCAGCAAAGATGGAGCGATTTGGATTCAATGAGGCGCATCTTTTTACATCAGCAACACCACATGATGATGATCCGGATGAATTGAACAGGTGAACAAAACAGAATCTCCTGATTATTTATTAATATGCTTTATTTGGTGTTCTTTGTGTCTTCAGTTGTTTTTTTCTGCATATATTTGGCAGATGAGGTGTTTTTTTTCCACTGAATCATATCGAATTAAACAGAATGACATGTCTGTATCGACATACGCAACCCGATTCATCACCTTGATGTCAACACACCGTAACTTGAGTATTCACAAATCAAAAATAACTGAACTGTAAAAATGCATGACCAAAACAATTGATACCATATTATTGCTACTTCATTGCGTAACCACTTCGAAAAATCACTTTATCTTCGGTGAAATACACATTTTTCCACAGAGAATTCCACAATCCAATCGAAGAATATTCAATTAGTTTCATGAAACGCAATATAGTAGCGATTATATATCAATTTGCACACACGCACACACACACACACACACACATACGGCATGGAATCAAAACCTCTGACCCAATTCGCATTTAAAAAGTCAGAAGTTCATTGTTAACGATTCGTAGTGGCTTCCATTTTAGATAAATTGATGTGAACGAATTCCAATAATTTAATGAATGAATCAAATTAACAAAATCATCAAAATATTACGATCAACTGTTGGTTTGACATTCCATTTGCGGTAGAAAAGATATTCATCACTTGAATTATTTTCATTTAAATGAAGAAAAAAAACCTAGCAAATCAATTTGTTCCAGTTAATGGGGCATGTATTTAAGAATTTTGGTTACAAAATGACTAAAGAGCTAGAGTATTTTAAACTTGAGTAATAAAGTGTGAAATGTAGCTTGAATGTGTTTAAAAAAAAGAAGAAATGACCTCATCGAGACAAAGAGCCAAATGAAATTGAATGGACGTTTTGGAGCATGCACTAGGAAATATCTCAACTCACATAAAAATGGAATGCAGTTGGAGAAGAATTTGTCATTTCTCTAAATGGCCGTTTCAATGTTGCAGAACAAAGCAAAGACAAAGAATCGGATGCAACGACAACATGCAAACTTTTATCTCTGTCGTATTTTTTGGCCAATTTTTTGGAATGTGTTTTGTGCAGTTGAATTTAATTTCTGGGAATTCAATAGACAAGTGCAGTTGAGTCAAAAGAAGGAAAAAGAATTGCTTTTTAAACAAGTGAATCGGAGACATTATTGCTTGAGATGTTATGCACCACTGAACAAGAGTTTCGACGTTTGCTACAGAGCAGTGTACATGATTGATTGCGACGCTTTGCCAAACTATAAACCGATATTCTCAAGCTGAACCAACCAACCATCTCATAACCGATCTGACGAAATCATCAAAACGTACGGGGTATAGTGACGTGATGGGAGTTTCGTGTTCTAACTCAAACTTAAAATGCGATCGACTTTTAAGAGTGCCCATAAATTGATGAACCATGCAATGGGTGGAGTGGTGGGGGAGTTCTGATCAAAGAAGAACGGATTCCGTTTGATGACAAACTAAAAGACGACGTTCGCTATTAAATAGCATCGAGATGAAGATATTCCAGCAAGTGATTGCTTTTTCAACTCCGCCAAGGATTTGTACAGTTTTTTATGTGCGATTTTATACGATTTTCACTTGTTTGTAATGGTCAGAGTCGCACGTCGTTGCCGAGCGACGGTGGATGAAAGCGAGAAAAGTCACAACTACGATAACATACATTGTTCCGAATGAGCAGGAGATGGGAGTATCGGCAAAAAAAAACTTTTAACTACTACTTTAAGTCATGCTGTATAATATGAAATCGCCATTTTCATGTTTAATGGAATTGACGTCGAAGTACCGAACATAAAAGCACATTAGCACAAGCGACGATTAAATCACTGCGCTTAAGACGATAAGTTGAAATGCTGTAGTTTTAACAAACAAACTAAGTTCCATAATTTGCATATTAAGTGAAACGAACAAATTGCCAATCTTAAGCAAATCACATCAACTTTGCAGTTGCATTGCATGGACGCTACAAAGCCGGTTCTTTGGATTCACGATTTTAAAGGGGGAAAAAAACAAGGCACGAGACAGATGAAACTTTGGATTTTCGGATTAAATATTGATTCGTCATCAAATTCAATTTTTCAGCACGATAAGTATGGATTAAAAGGGAAAAAGAGTTCTTTCTCGAAAACAAGATCAGATAAAGAATTCATCAAGTATAACACAGCATTTCTGCAAATTCGGAATGGTCGAAACCAAATGGCACCACGTTTGCATCGTGACAAACACTCTAGACGATTCCATAGCGTACATCAGCGCAGACGATATCATTACAACTTTTAAATAGAAATATCCATCATTTTATTGCCATTTGTCGTTCTCAGACGCAACCATTCCCGAATGATTCCATTTTCGCAATGCGAAATGCATTTTAGCTCTTCGCATGTTGCTTTCTACTTCTTTCACTGTTTTCGGCTTGCACTTTTGAACTTCAATTTTGCTGCACGAAAAATTCCCTCATAAAAATACCACTCGTTCAACAGGATCATATAAAAATTTCTCTTTATTTTATTGCCTTTTATTGCGCCACAGAATGAATGCATGGCGAGAGAAAGAGACCGAGCGAGTTTGATATATAGACAGATATTAAATTGTACTATCATTGGTAGTGAATATGAATGTTTCGAAAATGGGTTTGCGTTTTAGCGGTTTAGATGCATTGGATCAATTTTGGAATAGAGAAAAAAGAGAAGAAAAAGTAAAAAAAAAAAACCTCTCCTCGTCAAGCATCCGTATAACAATTGATATCTGAGTGATGGAAAGTGAGCATTGAATTGAAGGCATTTTCTGGATGTCGGTAATTTTTCGAGTAATAATTTCAGGTCATGGCAACATTCCCATTCGGTCGAACATGGAATAATATGAAGTAGTAAAGAGAATTTGACGATGCTATTAAATCGATTGTAAAATTTTAATGAAAAATCCCATTCCAAATGGCCATGCACCAACTACAACGACAACAAATTGGGTCACTCGCATTCTCGATTCCGATGATTTTTCGAACTAAATAAATATATATAACATACACAATTTTTTTTAATGAAGTGATTCCATTTATATGGGGTAGTTTTGGATGATGGCAAAAGGGGGAAAACGTCAGCAATATGCTCCTCCTGGATGATATCAATGACGTTCGTTCGACTTTGGCAAAAATAAACTGAATGAAAAAAAAAACACGTGTTCAGAATATATCAGAATGCCATGGAGGATGCAGTGTTGTAATAATTTTCACTTGAACCGCATGTACGAGCAACTCGGCAGCACAAATTTAACGATGCATAAGCTCTTTGCGGCATTAAATTTTCATCTGCTTCAAAGAATGCGAACTAATGAAATTGTAATAAAACAAATAAATGCTCATAAACCGCAATAAGCAAATCGTAAAGCGTAAATTTATATCAAGTTGTGTGTGTGTGTGTGTGTGCAGAGCTTTGGAGAAACAAACTTTTCGAATCGACTAATGACTTTGCTCGGTTATTGGTCGACTTGAAAGTTCTTTCTTATTTTTGATTTGCTGGAATCCGACGTAAACAGTATCGTATTGAATTGGAGATATGTGTTGTTGTTTATCTTGAAAACATGTAAAACTTTGAGTCAACGAAATTTGATTTGTTTTGAATTTGTGGAAAACATCGAATTTTGTGTGTACTGTTGCCAACGTGACTTCTGCTCCATGAGTTTGAGGCCCACAAAGCGAGGGCAAATGCAATTCGGATAAAAAAACACACACACACACACACACACACACAACAGAATGCTTTAGCTAATGAAAGAATGAATGTTTGTTGTGTTGATAGGATTTGCTTGAAACCCTCAATTCAACATACATGAAGTATAAAAGAATATACCGAAGCAGAATTACATGCGATAATCGGAGTTTTCCATGTTCAAATTGAAATTTATAGTTTCATTCGTACGTTTGTTCCACTAGTTCGAGAGTGGTTTCGGAGCAAAGAGGTAACTAACTGATGCTGGATTAATGCATTTGTGATGCTTGAAAGCGTTCGACCGAACTGCTTTTCTTTTTCACTCGATTTTAGTGCGATACGGCTTTTATGTTTACACGTGCGCTCGTAGCAATGAATGACATCGTAAAATCCAGCATATCAATTCTGCCAAATTAACTCGCTATTTTCTTTGTTTTTTGACTCCATTTTTTTGTGCATTTTCGCTGAAGTCAAACCAATTTTATGATTTCGAAATGTTTCTGCTTCCTAATTCTAGATTTGGTCGTCCGTTGTTGAATTTCGCAGCTGCTGCCACTATTCTCATAATGATTGTTGGTATTTGTGGAAATTTATTAACCGTGATAGCATTACTAAAGTGTCCAAAAGTTCGAAATGTAGCAGCCGCATTTATTATTAGGTAAAATCGTATTTTGAACATTTTTAAGTGAATTGAATGGAATTTTCAATATTTTTTTCTTCGCTTTGGTTACAGTTTATGCATAGCTGACTGTTTGTTTTGTGTGATTGTCCTGCCATTTAGCGCGTATCGTTTCATTCGAGGCACATGGCTACCCGACGGACCATTGTGCCAAATAATACCGTTCTTACAGTATGGAAATGTCGGGGTTTCGCTACTTTGCATCGCAATGATTACAATAAATAGGTAAAAAAAACCATGGAAATAACACTTTTAATCTGGCTAATGCAGGCATTTTTTTCACACCGCAGGTACATTATGATCACACACCATAGTTCCTATGCGCGCATCTATAAAACTCAATGGATTACCGTTATGATTGTGTTTAGCTGGGTGTTTGCTTACGGAATGCAACTTCCGACACTGTTCGGCGTTTGGGGTAAGTTTAATCGATATCGATTCGAATGTGTTCAATGTTCATATTGGTGCACACAATTCTCATGTCAACTCTTCATGCATTCAGGTGTGTTCAAACGCGACGACAATCTTGGCACATGTTCAATTATGCAAGACAAGAATGGACACAGCAGTAAAACGACGTTATTTGTGACGGCTTTTGTATTTCCATGCATTATTATCATTGGATGCTATACGCGAATATTCTGGGTCGTTCATAAGTGAGTCACAGCATTCTAAAAATAAATACCATTTCAGCAGTCGATTAATCATACTGGATTGTTCTATTTACTATTTCCGTATCATCTCTCATCGATAGGTCTGAACAACGGATGAGACAGCATGCGAGCAAACAGAATGCGATTCCAAACAATTTACGCGTAATCCAATCGTCAAAACCAATTGCCACCAAAGACACAAATAAACGTAGATCAAATACAGAAGTGGCTCAAGCGTCGACTGTTCCAATACCAGCCATATCGACAGGTACCTCAAATCAACCGGCAACTGAACCGAATGCCATTTGTAGTGAAAATGTCAGTGTCAATAGTCGAAGTGATTCAGGAGTAACGATGACCGTCCAACCGAATAAAATACCAAGCGGCAAATTTACAAATCCAAAACCAAGCCGGGTTAAAGACGCACGCGATGCCAAGGCAAAACGCAACGAATGGCGTATAACCAAAATGGTACTGGCGATATTTTTATCGTTTGTAATGTGCTATTTGCCAATCACTGTGGCCAAAATTGCTGATAAAGATGTTTCATATCCCACGCTCCATATAATCGGCTACATTCTACTGTATCTATCGTCGTGCATCAATCCAATCATCTACGTAATAATGAACAAACAATATAGACAAGCATATAAAACCGTTATTCTGTGCAAACCAGGCCGATTGCTGGCATTCACTCAAGCTGGCAGTTCAGTGGGTGGTAAGAAGTCACCATATTTATCTTACTTTATTGTATGCCTATTGCTTAATCACTAACCGATTGGTTTTATATACCGATAGAATCGACTGTTGTCCGGAAAGATCAAAATGTTTCTTAGAAATGTCATTTCGTTTTAGAGAAATGGAAAGATGCCGCATTCAGCTACAACCACAGATCTGTTACCATGGTATCACAGGTTTCCCTACCCGAGGAGCTGCAGTCGTCTTGTCCGAATCATCAACAGCATCGCCGAGGTAACACATTTGCCGCATTACCTTTGTCTTCATTCGACAGAAGATAGACGATTAATGCTTATTTGATTATATCGTTTTTTTTAAAGATTCACCCCATCCAAGACGCTTGCCGGACATTCGCGGTAGCACAGATCCATAATGATATCATAAAAAGTCTCGAAATAGTATCAAACAAATGACATATCATTAGCCAAAACGACCGAATTAACTTACGACCGTAACCACTATTTCGTTCAAGGAAAAAGAAGAAGAAACAAAACTACTCGAAGAGAAACCAAATATGTGCCAAAAATAATTATTTTTAATTCAAAAAACAATAGCTATAGTAATATAGTGTATATCATAATTATGTATGTATCTAGTACATAGTATATTGTATTTATTAAATAAACGAATGTTTCATATTTTCATTTTAATTTGAAATTACAATAAGGAAGTTTGTGTTGAATTGTCAATTTTAGGTAGTATTTTTCAATGGTTCAATGTTTGTTCTTGCTTATTTTGCTTTTTTTTCAATCAGTTGAATATATCAAATGGTAAGTCATGGTTTCTTTAAACTAAAAAAGAAAATTGGGTAGAAATAGAAAAAGAGACATAATTTCTAATGGAAACAATTGAAAAATGTAGTCATCATCGTTAAGAATTGTCTGCCATTGGATTGCAATCCGAGCAGATTGTTGTGTTTTTAGTTGGAAGTTTGTCCAAACACACCACGCACCATCGACTCAATTTGAGCTGAGTCTGTTTCTCAAAGTCATTGTCACTTTTTGACTTCAGTTTCTGTTCCAATGTCTGATTTTTATCGCGTAATTGAATATTTTTGCCCTTTTCTGCTTCGTATTCCACGATTAATTTGACATGAGCTGACTGTTCCACTTCCTTGTCATGTTTCAATGCATCAATTTCCTTGCGAAGACTCAACAGTTCAATGGTTTGTGCTTCGAATTCGGCTTTTATTTTAGCATTCAATTGCTTTTCAATCGCTTTTTCGTGTGCCAATGCTGCATTCTCTGCCTGCAATTCAGCCAGTTGAGCTTGTCGTGAAACATGTTCGGTTTTCAATTCACGCACATATCCACGTAAAACATTGACCTGCTCCATGAATGTTTTGGTGATGCATATTGTTTTAGGTGTATTTTTCGGTTCCTCTTGAATATCCTGTGCCATATCACCAATAATATTACCGTTACGGTTATTGTTATTGTTGTGAGACGAGTCTTCCGGCGATTGATTTTGGAGCGGAAGCGATCTGAGCTCTGGATTACGGAAGCCCGGAATCACTTGGTCGTATTGTTCGCTATCAACTTTTCCGCGGAACAGCTTAGTTTTCGGCGGTGCAAAATGAAACGGGCCGAACTTTTCTTCAACTCTTGCAATGTACTTGGCAGCTTCCTGGGAATGTAACACGAAAATAAACACTTCTCAAATCATTCAACAACAACAAAAAAAATCATTAAATTCCTACGTACGTTCATAGATTCCTTGATGGTATCTTTGTACTGATCAGGTAGGTCCTCGTTGGGATCTTCTTTGGAATACAGATAGCAATTAGCATAGGCGACGTTTGCAATCTCATTATCGCCAAAAAAATACACTTCGAGCGGCTGTTTGTTGCCTTTACCAATTTGCAAGAGTTTGGCAGGCCAGTATGGATATTTGCTAAACTGTGCCCATACGACCAGATGTGGATGTGAACAAACTCGAAGAGCTTGATGTCCATTTACGTCATTCATATAACAATCGCCACACTGCTTCAGCTCGTCAATTTCTTCAACACATTTCGTCAGTAGCATTTTGGCATTGTCTCGAACCTCTGCAAAACTATTCTTTTCGCGTACGTCACCATCTAAATGAAAAAAAAATGGGTCAGAGAAGAAAATTATTGGTAAACATGGATGTCGTATTTCGAATACCAAATACACTTACATTTGTGTAAAATTTCACAGTTGTGTCGCATCCATTTGAAGTCTAACATGAATACTTGTGTGCTCTTATACTCGGCACGATCAATTTTTTTGGCTATATCGTCAAATGTCACCGCATTGACTAATAGCTTGTTGTCAGTGTAGCCCTCTGGAGTGTTGAAGCTACCGTTCTGGGAAGAACAAATACAATGATTTTGTTACAATGATTTTATGATTTTTGTTGATAAGTTAAAGCCAAACTCACTTCTTTGGCCAAAATTTCGAATACACGTTTGAACAAGTCTTCAAGGCTGTATTCGCCCATAGTCCTATGAAAAAAAAGAAAGAAAAACACGTTGTTCAAACACCTCGTAAGTGTATAGAGAAGAATGACATACCAAAAATCTTCTGGTTTTGCGGCAAGTTGACACTCGGGGCAATTCCATCCAGCTTTATCCCGATTGATATCCGTCATGCAATTGTTGTGAAATGTTAAAACACAATTGGAACATTTCACAACCATTTCGTAGTCACCAATTTTTTTGTGGCAAGTCCAACAAAATTTGTCCCGATTATCCTGCAAAATAATAACAAATAACAAAAAAAAATAATGCAAAACATAAATAGAAAAGCAAATATATTGGGTTCATTTCGAATGAATACTACTATTTACCTTTGGCCCACTTGAATCGCATCTTTTCAACAGTGAAGATTCTGAACTGGTGTCAAGTTTTATCCTCTGTTTTAAAGGAATATCTTCACTTTCAGAGTCGCTTTCATGCGAATACATTTTCTATGGAAAGAAAACGAACCAAATTAATGTTATTGATATGATTTCACACGCCGAAAGTAATTTTTTTTTCAATTCTACCAATTTAACAACACCAAGGCTGAAATGAATTTATTCGAAATGACACAAAATATGTAAGAAAATCAACTGAATCGAAGGCTAATGATATTTCGATACGTCTCACTTCCCATAGTTAAGCAGAATGAAACAGGGTTTCAGTGTACAGTCATTCAAGATGTAGAGATGCGTTGCTTATGTCATGCTCAGGATTTTGACTGTAAACAAATGTTCTGCTATTCCCAGTTGTGTATGTGTGCGGGTATGTGACGCTCAACAAGTGACGACAGGCAATAAAGTATATTATATACATTTGTGTCAGCACGTAAACTTATTATATACATTTTTGTTTTGTTTATACTTTCGTCTATAGATATTCGCTCATTTGAATGTGACAGCAGCATCGTTGGTCGACTCGACACACACACATACACGCACAACAAGCAACAATAGTATGCTGTCAATTTTCAACAAATGAAACAATCACAGATATTTGAATGATATTGCCTTTATTTCGAAAAAATATAAATGCCACTATGATGGAGGGTGAATGGAAATGTATCAAGAATTCTAAATGCTAAAATGATTAAAATTGATTCTTAAAATTTAATATTTTCGATGGGAAAAAGATTGCGTTTTACATTTAAAATGTTGAATAAAACTGCTTGTATGCTTAAAATTGGCGTGAAAACTCTTTACTTCATTTCGCATGAGCCAATTCACTTTTCAGCCGTTCGTTTTCTTTTCGCAGCTCAATAATTTCAGCACGTTGCATTTCAGATTCTGACCTTAGTTCACGCAAGGCTTGCTGACATGCCCGTACTCTCTCAAGGAATGGTTTATTTATCGGAATACACGCACCAACGTTCATTTTTGATGCTTTAGCCTCGGTTTTGTGATGGCATTTGGATTTGTCAGCCAGATTCAAGTTGTCAATATGGGATACATCGTCATTGATATCATGGTCTTTGCCGCTGTTTTCAAACGATTGAAATAATGCTTCGGATACATTTGGGCGTACTCGCTTTTCAGGATTGCGAAAACCAGGGATGATTTCGTCTAAATGCATCGTGTCCAATTTTCCAGGAATTGGCTTGATGAATGTTGTTGGCAATTGCAATGGACCAAACTTTCGTTCGATATTTTCGATATATTTACTCGCCTCCTGTAACCAAATATTTCAAATTCAGTACAATTTTCACATGGTTTGCTAAGCAAAATGTGTCTTACTTCCTTGGCCTTTCTGATGTCGTCTTTGTATTGTCCCGTCATATAATCGTTTGGATCGTGGTTGCAGTACAAAAAGCAATTGTCGTACGAAACGATTGCTGAGGTATGATCATTGAAGAAGAACACTTCAAGCGTTCTAGATGCATCGTAAATGTTCAATATTTTCGCTGGCCAATATGGATAAATGTCGAATTGAGCCCATACCACCAGATGAGGCTTGGAGCACACCAGATAGATGTCAACGTTATTGTTTACGTAACATTCAGGGCATTTTCGATACAAATCGATTTCTTTTTCGGCACTCTTCAATAAATTCCTTGCAATATTTCTGGTTCCCACCAAATTTTTCTTCTCTTGTTTCACGCGCTCTAAAAGTACCGCAAATTACACAGGAGATTATCTGTTATTCTATAGGCAGGCTTACATAGTTCGTAAGAAATACTCACTTGAATGCAAAATTTCGCAGTTATGGCACAACCACTTGAAATCGAGCAAAAGAGCATGGGTGTTGGCATATTCGTTGCGTTTGGATTTTTCTACAATGTCCGCAAAACTCACCGGATTGATCAATAAACTGTTTGTGTAGTCATATGGAACGTTAAAAGTGCCATTCTGTGAAGAATAAATGTAATATTATATTCAATGTATTGATATCTACGGTTTTTTTAACAACAACAAAAAGAATACCTTGATCGTTTTTCTAAGCAAACGTTCAACGATATATATGTAGCATTTGCTGAGATCATCATTGTCTAAACATCTGAATAGAAATTATTAAAATATTGAAAATCATTCAATCGAAAGGTTAAGTAGTTTTACTTTTGATTGGATTGGCATTCCACACATTTCCAACCAGGCTTGCATCGATGCATGTCAGGAGTACAGTTCTTGTGGAATGATATAACGCAATTAGAGCAATGCACCTCGTGTGCACATTCTTTGTGGCATCCCCAGCAATACTTATCCCACTTCGGCTGAAAATTTCAAATGTTCACATAAAAATCCAGAATATTTCAATAGATTGTAATGCCAGATATTACTTTGGAATCAGGTAGATTTGCTTCTGAAGAAGCGCCCGTTACACAAGATAAACGTTCATCAACTGAAAACTGTTTGTTCTTCACACTCCATTTTCTCTTAGCTAGCGGTATATCTTCGTCGTCAGAACCGCTGAGCATTTGTTTATACTTATTCATTTTCTATGTAGAAAAAAAAACAAAAAGAAAAAAATATCACATCTGTTCGATATTCAAATTTATTGCAAGAAATTGCAACAAGTTTGAAAATCAAATTGCTTCGTGTTTGACAACAACTTGAAATTTAATTTTTTGACATTGCTCTGAATATGGGTTTACCGCTTTAGTAATAGATGTAACACGAATTTATTGAAAAAATACTTTATTCTTCTTCACTCTCACATAAATTTGAACAAAAAATCTTGATTTTTCATATGTTTTAAACAAACTTTATTAATATCGTATTTTTATATATTAATCGTATTTTCACTGCGATTTTGAAGACAAAAAAATGCGAAATCAACACGATACTGAACTGAATTGCCAATTAGAGCGCTCGAAGTATCGCTACTCAATGATACTGTTAGTGAGATGCTGCATTGTGTTGTTTACAACAATTTCTCTTTCGTGCAGTAGTATGCGTGAACGATAACGTAAAGCGTGCAGTTGTGCTATGACATATCCAATACATACACACTTTGATGATTTGATGAATATTGTTCGTTTGAAAATGGATGACATTGACATTTCTCATTTATTCGACTGATTGCAAAACAACATGCAATTGTATATGTGCTTTATGGTTATTGGTTATTGTTGGGAATTCAGTTCAACTTTGGACATTTTTTTGTCCTCTTTTCTTTTCTTCCTCTTAAGACTAATGGCGAAAAGGCAATTCTTTTTTTTTCAACATTTCTAAACGAAAAATTACACTTCAGGATCCGCTTCGATGTTCTGTTCAACAGGTGTTACCTGAAATTAGTCAAAATAGAACAGTTTACAAGCAATGTTCAATGAATAAAATTTCGAAATAAGTTTTTTTCAATAATGCATAAGTCTGACGAATATCCTCAAAATAAAACAAGAAAACTAAACTCACATGCAGTTGGATGCATTTCTCGCACAATGTTGCATTGTCAGTTTGGATTTGCTGTAGACATTTGGTGCACCAATTATGCGTTTTGGCGTGAACCACCTCCTTTTTCATCGATTCAATTTCGGTCTGCAATTGAATAATTGTATCCTTTTGCAATTGATATTCCGCCTTCAGTGCGGCAATGTTTTCACGGTATTGGTGTACTTTTTCTAGGAATGTCTTTGTCACCGGAATAGAACGTTGTTGCGATGCAATCATCACATCTACACGTTCGTTGGATTGAATAGTCGTTGTCGCTTGTTCACTTTTGACATTATCGGAATTGCTGGCATCATTGTCATTCGGTTGAGAAATTTCGATCGTATCATGGTCAATGTGCAGTGTGCGTTGATCTGGGTTGCGAAAACCAGGAATCATTTCATCCAATTGTTTCGTAAATAGTTCGCCTGCAGTTGGTTTGGTAAATCTTACCGGTAGTCGAACGGTACCGAATTTCGCTTCAATATTCTGAATGTATCGGTTGGCCTCCTAAATTCAAAACTTGCATTAGTGTCGCCAGCTCTGAAAATACAAACTTCTGTGCAATTGTTGGCTCACCTCTGCGGCGGCACTAATGCCTGCCTTGTCCTTGTCGGTGAAATAAATGTTCGGATCTCCTTTCGAATAGAGGAAACAGTCTTCATACGAGACGCGCGCAGAGTTGTACTCTTTGAAGAAATAAACTTCAAGTGGCTTGCGACCTTCATGTATCTTGAATAGTTTTGCAGGCCAATATGGATATGTCGCATATTTGGCCCATAGAACTAGATGTGGCTCGGAGCAAACGCTTATGAAGGCATCCTCCTGATCGCCTCTTATGTAACAGTCGCCGCAAAGTCTAAGGTCTCTCACTTCATCTTCGCAATGTTTGAATAAGACTTTTGCTTTTTCAAGTGTTTCACCGTACGCTTTCTTCGCATCTTTGTCATCCTTCTTGCAATCTAAATCCAGAATAAATTCAATAATTTCAAACACACGTTTTGATTTCTAGAAAAATATCGTTTACAGTTCTTAAGGATGTAGCAGTTATGCTGCAGCCATTTGAAATCGAGCAAGAACTCGTTTGCGCTTGAATATTCCGCATTTTTAGTTTTTTCCAAAATCTCATGAAATGTAATCGGATTGATCAAGTGTTTGCTGGTCGTGTAACCATTGGGGACGGTGAATCGGCCAGACTTTGGAAATATGAATATGAATTACAATTAATATTTGTAATTGGTACATGGACAGCAATTCAATGCAACCTTATGGCTAACCCGTTCAACACAATGTTTAAGCAATTCATCCAAGTCGTTGTCATTCAAACTTCTGCAATGTAATCGAAAATGATTTGTTTGTGTAACTTTAAACAAAGATCAGTTTATGCAGTACCTATTTTTTTCCGTCTCTGCTAACAATTTGCACTCTGGACAGTGCCAGCCAGACTTGCATCGATTTTGATCAGCAATGCAATTCTTATGGAATGACAAAACACATTTTGAACAAGACACTTCGTCATAGCTATCCTTATGGCATTTCCAGCAAAAATTGTCCCATTTGCGTTCAGACATTTTCTGTGTAAGATAAAACGATTATGTTGAACAAATACAAATCAAAGCATATCGTGCACACTCATATGTCAATCTAATAAGAGGCAATGAACGAATTCGATTTTTTCACATGTTTCAATAAGTAAAATCGAGGTTTTCCAAACATAAATCCGGACAAGTTTGTCACGCACTGCATATATATTTTAAACAATGGGATTGATTATTCTCCCATTTGCATATACAGCACAATATGCTATGTATAACACGAATGATACAAACCATTGATATCTTTGTCATGGCATACTCAATAAAAATGAAATATATTTCATTTGTTTTTATCGGCACCTCGGCACTTTTGTTTGCGAAAAAAACTATTTTTCAGCGGCGAACAAACAAAAAACAAAATGGACGATATGCGAATATACACAAAACAATGTAAAATATTTTTTTCAGCGTTGAACATAAAAAAGCAGCGTAGAAAAACGATTGACAATTTATAATGAGAATTTCATAGCCATGATTTCTTACCAATTTCCATAATTACCGACCAATTCGGTACAGAATTGTTATATTTTTGTCACCAAAATCCTGGATTGAGTTTAAACTTTGATTCGATACGATGTCTACAACTGAGAAGAACGCTTATTCAGTTTTTTGTGTAAGCAAATTAGGCTGTGTTCGTAATTTGGCAAGTGTGTGTGTGTACGCACGTTGCTCATCAAGAAATAACAAAGTGTACTGTAAGACTTCGTGTTGGTGGTTTTTTTTTGGGGGATTTTCGGCTACATTCAAAAAATGACACTGTGGCGCTGTCCATGTGCGAAACAAACTCAAATTCTATACAAAATGAAATCGTTGATTTTAACTGATTTTCTGTATTATTTTTTATTATTTTCCAGCATATAATCTTATTTAAATGGCATATGGCTTAGATAGTAATGCAGTTATAAAAATAATAGTACTTTATGTATGTATATTTATTTTTTTTTTACATATTTCTAGTTGGTACAAATGAAAATCGATTGTTAGATGCAATCAATAGACCAAATTGAAATCCAATTAATCAAATCATTTGCTAAATTAATTTAAGAAACCATCGGTTTTATAAGTACAGAACAGTAAACTGTTCAAAAGTACAGAACATAAACACAATTAAGAAAAAAAATTAAAGGCCAACAGAAAAAAAAACTAAATTACAATATCATTTTTAGATAAATGCTTGAACAGCACACAGCGTGATCCAAATAGATTTTTAGCTAGCCATTTCGGTTGACTCGGAATCATCGCCGGCTTCGGCACCATAGCATCGTCGCTTATAGTCACTCAAGAATAGCTTCGACATATTCGATTGATCGATTTTAACCGATTGTGTTGTGTTACTGTGGAAGAAATTAAATTCTTGTTCAATCGATTGCATATCGAAAAGAATTGATTTTTGATGAATAAACCAAATTTCATGTATAATTACATTGTTTTGTAGAAAATGGCTCGACAATTTTCTATCTCAATGCGGAGTGAGTACAATTTGGCCAAATCGATGAGTTTATCGTTCTCTTCTGTATTTGTGTATGGCAAAATCAACTGGGATTGTCGCGAGTCTTGTAAGAATCTGAACGGAAGAAAATAAAGTTTTATTTATTTCATTTTTTAATTTGTTGGTAAGAAGAATCATTCAACAAACCTGGCCAAATGCTCGTTGACGCTGCTAAAAATGGTAAAACCCGGTCGTTCATCACGAATTCGCCGACAGCCTGCCCGAATCTCTCTGACTTCCATGCTCGGCGAAGCTAAAAACGGGTTCGAAGCTTCACCAGACATTTCGCTTTCGATCTGTGCCGTGTGAATGCCAGACGTAAAGTTTTGATAGCTCTGTGGAACAATGTCGATTGGTAACGAGGTAGCGGTGCGCAGCACACGACTAGAATTTGATGTAAGCTGATTGTCCGATGTTGACGGTGACGAATGCGTTAGTGAATCGTTCGATGTCAGTCGATTTTGTAGCGACGTGGGAAACTTTGGCGGAAATATGCTCGATTCCAAGTTTAACAATGTGGTTCCAGTGTTGACTGGATTTTGTGATGTGCTCAAATGTGATGCATATGTTGTTGTTGGCAGTTCATCAGCTGACATGAGTGTATCTTCATCTTGACCCATGCAATCGTCGTTGGTGAAACGTGCCTTCAAATTGCCAGACGTCTGATGCACGCCAGACGCGTTATTGTTGGTGGAACTTCGTGCCGATTTGGCCCGCTTGAAATCATTTTTCGAAGCGAAATTGACCATTGCTTCGTTGCCTGGCCAATCGGTCAGCTCATCATCTCCCTCTCGATCACTTTCGTTCGTTTCGCCCGCCTCAGAATCACTGCTGCTCAACGAGCTCGAGCTCAAGAAATCATTCAAGTTACCGCAATCCATGCCATTCTGTTCGTGGAATTGCATTTTCAGCTGGCTTCGTTTGCTTTGCTTTCGCTTGTGGTTCGAGTGCCGTGACGTGTTGTGGCCTTTGCGTGAACTTTCTTTGATTTTAATCGGCAACGAAATGTCCACCATCGGTGATTGAACGACACCACCCGGTTGAATATCTTGAACGACAAACGGTGAATCAAAACTGCCCGATTTCTGTGGCATTTTATTGGTATTGGCACTCGATGCACTGTCAATGGACAAACTCTTTGCTGTGAATGGGGTGACCGTTTGTAGGCCAACTGGAACTTGTGGCAACTGTTGTTGGCTGACATCGGCATTCGTGTTCGTTGTTGTATTTTGGCTACTGCATTTTAGGTATGCTGAATCAAAATTGAATCCAGTCGGCACACTCTTACCATCGTTGGCTGTCACAATTCCCGGCGCAAAGCTCATAGCACCACTGTGGTTTAGTGATTCCAGTGAGATTTTCTCAATTTTCGACACAATATTTTTATTCAGCGGTAGAATTCGTTCGCATGGCTTGGCGTATGCGTTACGACTGCGATTTTTGTACTCCAAATATGAATTTTTCGGTGTGAAAAATTCACGCTGGCGTGGCACACTGCTCGAATGCAAGCGATAATGGTCATAATCGTGATATCGTTCACGATGTGATCGTTTGCGTTTGCCACAGAAAAATAGACCGGTCCGGAAATTCTCCTGATTTGTGTGTTTCATAACCCGTTTCTTAACCGTGCTGCTGCCGGTCAACGGAAACATTGTATTTGGATTTGGGTTGCCAGGCGTCGATGGTGTCGTTTCGTATTCCACAGCCATGCGCTTAAACTTTCGCTTTCGACGAGTGCTGGGTCTGCAAAATTTCAAGATGAAATTCATTTAATGATTTTGCCAAACAACAACAAAAAAAAAAGCATGTGTATAAATGTGTGCTTACCGTGTTGGGCTGAAATTCTCATTCAGTGAATCGGATTCAAAGTTGCCAAAGAGGCATGTTTGTCGCACTTTCAGCGCAAGTTGGAAATTCTGGCGATCATCCGAATCACTCAGGATTGAATTTGATTGGCATTCATTAATATCAATGTTTCCATCGCCTGGACTCGAACTGTCTTCCGTCGGCTGTGGTGCACATGCTAAACATACAAATGGAACAAGTGAAAATCATGGCAAAATGCACACGATGCAATAATTTTGCATGGAGACAAAAATGACTTGCGCATTACATCGATACTTACGTAAGTTGCCGGTCGAACGAGTACGGCGTCGGCCGCCCCAACAGTGTCCAGCTCGTACACGTGACGTCTCCTCTAGTGCCAATGTCAAATCATGGGAAAATTGTTCCATATTGACTTTTTACTTGGTTCGGTTGCACTATTCGAAAGGGAGTCTCTTAGAATGCTTCATTTATATGGGTTTTGGTTTGCCTTGATGTGTGCTTCTAATTGTTCCTTATTTTATCTCTAGCTTTCTGCAACTGGTGTAATTTAAGAATGACAAACATTCAACTTCAGTTTACATAACAACGCTATTTGTTTTATGAATTGTTTGTTGTTGTTATTTCAGTTCCTCAAAATAAAGAAATCGAAAGACGAGGAAAACATTGTTTCACATATATAAACAATTTGTCACATGGAAGTGGAGGAAATGGTGTTTCGATTGACGAAAGTCTTTTTTCAAATAGAAATTTGAAACATAAATGCACTCAATCGAGAGGTTACTGAAATTTACATTCAAATTCATGATACGACGAAACACATGTGAATGGCAAATGAAGAAATATATAAACGTAATTATCGCCCAGCGACCATGAACACAGTGCATGGCATACCAAACAAACAAAAATCCAAAACACTTTTTTCCCACCAAACACAATCAAAACTAGAACTTTTTGAATTTTCGACACTATTCACATTTTAATGTGGAAATATTCACTGGTTTTACAGACAAAAGAACAGAAACTTTTTAATCATACCGATTTAATTAGGATATTCTGCCAATAGTACACATTTTTACGGTGACATTTCCATTTAATTACAGCGTAAGGCACGCAATTCGCAATAAACCACCGTTTGGTTTTCTTTTGGTTGATTTCCTATTGGCCTTGATAAAACAATGGTCGATTTGATAATAATGTTTGTCGTGTACGAAATAAATTCGAATTTCCGACTTTTCATCCCATTCAAAATAGTAAAAAAACGCACACCACTGACAGGGAAAAAAGTTTACCAGAGAAAAAAAAACTACGACACAACAGCAATGAATGTATATATACTACATATATACTCTCATTCGCTCATCAAAACGTAGTGATATCGCCACTGCATCTTTCTCGTATATTTTAATGATATAATGCTTAGCAGTGGTCTTTTTCGCCCGCCCGAATATCAATATACACAGAGACTTCGTTTTCACTCTCGTTGTCACTGCAATTTGACCGAAGAGCACACATCCATTCGTCTCTTTCGTTGAGAAAAACAACCTTTCGCTTTTATTTGTCGTACAAATGCAATCATTATGTGCTCTCTCACACATACACACCGACAAACATACGGAGCATATCTGTCTCGCTCTATTTTGTCAAACCACTTTCATTGTTTGACTAACTGTCACATCTTGACAGTTCTTATCTCGCCTTACAGCACGCTGCTCACTCACAACACATAAATGACAATAGATTGGATGTTTGTATATCGGTTTGCAAATAACACTGGCAGAACAACAATAACAAGAACAAAAAAGATTCTATGAAATCGGCGTTTCTTTTCATGAAAAAAACTTAACTTTTATTTCGTATATCCGTAGGCTACAACAAAATTCATACATTAACTTTTCATTAGTGTCTTTACATTGAATTTACCGGATTTTTTGCTGTTTTCACTACTCTTTTGTTTCATCATATTATTAACAAATGAGTCAATTTTTTCGCGACTCATATTTTTACTATAGAATTCGAGTAGTTCGACTGCATCAAGGCTACTTTTTGTCAATGCATCTCGTGACATTCGACACTTGTCTACGAATTGATTTAGCTCGAAATCAGTTACATTGCGACTCACATTCAAACCATGATCCAATGGATTGTATATAAACATCGAATCAGAGCTTATATTTGCCTTTATCGTTCCAGTGGCGATGGAAGCGGCGTCATTGCTATAGTCAAATGAACTGTAATACTCAAAAAACTCGACCAACAATTCAGCCAATGTGCTGGTATTTTCCGTTTTGAAGTTTAATTTTTTGGTGTCTGTAATGAGTTGAATGTTTTCGCCTGATTCTTGTAGCGAAATTATGTCGTCAGATGGCGGGAGAATTGGTTTTTGCAATCGCTGCAGGAAAAATATCACCAAACATGTCACCATGAAATTGGACAATCCTGCTGGAAACGGTTGAAGTATATCAAATTCTTTGGCCCATGCACGAATAAAAAATGCTAGCGGTCGCACTCGCTCATCCATTTCACCGAATGTATAAAAAATCTCTGACATCTGGTAACCGGAGCTGAAAAAACACAAATTCAAACGTTGTTTTTATTTAGATATAAAACAATGTAAAGTGTGTACTACTTACAAGTTCCCCATTGATAGATCGCATTCTAAATTTGTGAGTGTATGGATGTATTTGATGATGGGCACGCGTGCATTCAAAATCGGCTGAACTTCAGAAACTCCTTGCAGCCAGTGTCTGGCCATGGTCGAAACAACATACAAATTATTTCGAACTGTATACCGAGCCATATCCTCCGACGTGCCCAACTCCATCGACTTAAGTTGACCTTTCCATGTTCGATTTCCGTATGACACTAAAATCATATCTAGGTCGGATTGCATTCGACCAAACCCGTTGATTGATGAACCAAATGGCAAAACTTGCGCTTCATGAAACACTCCTGAAATGGCTTCTTCGATTTGAAGTGCAGTCAAAAAACGCAGACGACTCGACAAGTCACTTAATCTATTCACTTTGAACAATTTCATAATTTGGTCATCGATTGTTTTCTCATCTCGCATTTGTTTAAGAATCGACTCTGGATTGATTATGCCTGTCTCCCGTTTGAAATTGTAATTGATTTTTTTTGGTTTTGTTGCACTATCGCCTGTCGAACTGAATGTTAGAAATCTACCCTTTGCACGAACTTTGCCGTCAATAAAGTGATTGCCGGGATGATAGGCGGAACGAATTACGTCTTTTGCTGTCTCAGGATGTTTGAATTCCACCAGAAAATGTGACTTTGCCTCAGCATCCAATCGAAAGATACTATTGATTGGGCCAATTTGTGAGCAACAGGCAGCGAGTTCATTGTCCGTATTAGAATCGCCTGGCGTTTCTATGAAAATACTTCTCTTTGCTTGAGCCTGTCGTTTCCTCACCTCATTCTGAAATGATGTTTGTGTATTTGCTGCAAGAGAAAATCACATGAAATATAAATATGACAATCGGTTGAAGGTTTTTCGATTATTTTACTCACGAGTCGTTTTAGCATCATGACGATTTCGAATTTGAATTTGAATTTGATGTGACAGCCCGTATTGAAATGTGTTTGATATTTTATTCAAATTCAGTTGGTATTTTAACATATTTTTAGCGAAATTTTTGTGTTGTTGATCAAAAATGTTGTTCGTCTTGACACATTGTCGCCCGTTGAGGTTATGTGAATTGTCAAATAAAAAAAAAATGACAAACATAACATTACTCAAAGTGGTGAGATTATTTGGAATTCACCGCAATGAACTTGTCCCTCTTCAAAATCAAATAGTTTTCAAAGCCTCTAGGCTAGGAATAATAAAATAAATTTAAGCTACATAAAGTCAAAACGTTTTAATCGAAAGTTTAAAAATATATACATTTAAATTTGTCTCTAGAGTGAATCCAAATTTATTTCAATTTGGAAATGATTTCTAACAGTCCCCAATCTTTGTCTTTGTCAGTCGGTTTTGATGAGCACTGTTCGAGCTCCATTAACGTTTCCCGGATCATGATTTTTAATGTGGAACATTCCGCATCGCTGACATTGCCTCCCCAAAAGCTTGTCGTATCGAATACATTTTCCAAATACAGTGGAGATGGTTCTGGCTTTTGTATCTTTTCGGTTGATCTCACTGTGATCAGGTATTTCTCGAAATCAAATGACTGGTAATATTCTAAAAACTGTGCAAACAGCTCAAGTACTGTGCTTGTGTTCTTGGTTTTGAATTGGAAACGTTCAAAGTTGAAAATGAATGAATTTTTCACGATGCTTCCGGCACTTTTCGCTTCGCTATTTCCGATTTGGTGCATCATGTCATCGAATGTGGGCACAAGCGGCTCTTTCAACTGTTGCAGAAAACTTAAGCACATGTACGACAATTGGAAGTTGGTAAAGTTGTCTCTGGCATTGTATCTTGTTATTTCAAATTCTTTTGCCCAACGACGAACCATAAATATGAATGGTCGAATTCGTGCATCAAGCAAACCCATTGCGTACATTAGTTCTGAAATATGGAATCCATCTCTGTGGAATACAAAATCATTGGCATTAGGAATTATGTTTATAATCATGCTAGATATTTCAAGACTTACAAATTGTTGACAGACAAATCCACGCTGCTGTGAATATTTGTGTCAAAGTATCGAACGATGGGAACACGGGCACCATGGAAAGCGGATACTGCATCGGTTCCAGGTAAAAAGTAATCAATCAATGAAGCGATACACTTGACTTGGCGTCCTTCCAACTTCTTGACATCTTCAGCATTTGCATAATCTTTCCCTTGAAATGCCAATGGCATGTGATTATTGTCTTCCGAATTGTCGGTTTGTCGGTCGAAACGAAGAGCCATATCGAGATCACAGCCCATTTTCCCAAAACCGTTCACGGTCGAACCAAATGGGTAGACTTTTGCATTCGGAAAGATTTCGTCCAAATATTCATTGATGATAACCTGAGCCTGCAGGGCCGAGATGAACTTCAGTCGAATCGATAGATCGGTGAGTCGTGTGTGCTCGTACAAAAGGTTCACTTGTTCATCAAAGTTGGCAGCATTCCGAAGAATATCGGCAATCGGTGGTTCGACAGCACTGTCAATTCGAAGCGGTGCCTCTTTTGGCAGAGATGAATTCAATTTCGAATTGCGCACTGTCAAAACTCTATTCGGCCACTTTACGGTGTTTGGCTGAAAGCCGCTGAATTTGAATGTTTCACTCACCGCATCCACATTGTCGTATTCGATCAACATCAAGTTCCGTTCATTCTTCAGTGTGTAGACAAATGCATTCTTTATTTCACCGAATTGTTTGCAATGATGATAGACTTGGCCACAAATATCCGTTGTGTTTACTTCCAGCATTACCGATCTTAATGCCTCTGCTTGGCGTCTCGTCGTGAAATCTTGAAAATTTTCAGCTACAATTTTGACCAAATCAAACAAACAAATCTATTAAAAATCAATCTGTTATGGGATTTTGCTTTATAATTCATACCACTAAATTGTGATTCCTTGACTTTTTGATTTGGAGACGTTGTGCTTTGCTGTCTGCAAAATATGCCTCTGGCATATCGGCTGAATCTTAATATATTTGGTAGTTTTAACATGTTGACCGTATGGAAAATGCCCACTTTAATACTTCGTTTCAATTTTTGTTTATTCGCAATTTCACAATGTAGTGTATGGTTATGTTATGTCTATCGCTGTCAAAGTTATAAGCATGCTTCAGCAACTGTCAAACAAAGGCGAATCGCATTAAATGTCAAAAGGGTGTAAATTTATTGGCGGTTAAAAAAACTCTTTTTCGAACTACTTAAAAAATAACAGTAAATTGATTATCTCAATTGTGGAAATATTGACAAGAGTCCCCATCGATCTTGATTTGGCTTCGTTGTACTGCCTATCTCCATTATATCAGCAAACGTATCTTGAGCATGCATTTTGAATGCGGCACATTCTTCAGAGCTTATGTTTCGGCTCCAATTTTGTTCCATTTCGAATGGGTTCGCAATTTGTAGTGCTGATGGCTCAATTTTTCGGATTGGTTTCTTTGATGTCAACGACACCAAGTTTTTTGTAAAGTCAAACGTGCCGTAAAATTCCAAAAATTGAACAAATAATTCTTCTAGTGAACTCGTATTTTGTGTTTTAAATTGAATTTTGTCCATGTCTCGTAAAAATGTATAGCCTCGTCCTTCGTCCGAGTATCGAACATCTTCTTTACGTGCTGCTGATACTAATTCTGGTACTGTGGGTATGATTGGGTCAGGTAACTGCTGCAAAAAACTCAAAACCAAACAGGTTATTTGGAAATTGGTGAATGAATGCGTGTTCGTTTTCGAAGTCAATTGCATTTCTTGTGCCCATCGACGAACTAAGAACACCAATGGTCGAACACGCTCGTCGGTTTCACCAAAAATATGAAACAATTCCGATATATAAAAACCAGTCCTATTGAGAGAGAATGAAATAGTGACATTTAGAGAGAAAAAAAATTACTCAAACCAATCGTTATTGCTTTTCGTTTTTGTGTTGCACTCACATATTAATCAACGAAATATCGACGCTGATATCCAAATATTTATGAAAATACCGGACGATTGGTACGCGAGCCTTGTAGATTGGAGTGACATTCGCAGCACCGGGAATGAATGATTCACATAATGTACCATAGAATTTGATGTGATTCTCGATCAATCCTCGCTTCGCTGCTTCTGAGTCGGACGAGCAGCTTTTTGTGTGGAACATCAGTCGTCTGTTGCTGTAATCACTTGGCGATTTGTATGAGCAATCATCAGAATTGTAGTGTAATATCATATCCAAATCACAGCCAAGCTTCCCAAAACCATTGACAGTTGAACCGAACGGCAAGACGACATGATTCAAAAATAAACCACTGAGTGCTCGTTGAATTTGCAACGCTCCTAGGAATCTCAATCGCACCGAAAGATCATTTAGCCGTGTATTTTCATACAATAAAGTTATTTGCTCTGATATTGAATTCGATTCTCTCAGTATTTTCGCTAGTTTTCCGGTTTTTCTCTCAACGGATTCTTCGTGCACATTCAATGGGACTCTATCTTTGATCTGTTTAAGTTTTCTTTTGTTTGGCGTATTTCGAAACCACATGAAACTACTCTTCACAGGTACCACTCCTGAAGCAAGTTCCGGAAAGGCACTCGATTGAAATGCCTCGCTCACCGAATCCTTATTGTCATACTCAAGCAAAATAAAACTGGTATCTTTGGGTACGGTATAAAAGTAGGCCTTCGTTACATGTCCAAATTGACTACAGTATTGATGAACATCATCGAATGATTTCTCTGAAGCCACCTGCACTACAATCGATCGACTTGCTTCCGATTGCCGACTGCCGATAACATCTTCGAAATTCCTATATAAAGGTGCTGAAATAAGAATGGATGAAATGCTACATTAGAATTAGAACAATAACAAACACTCGTCTCACCAAACACTTTACCGCTATAACTAATTGAACGATGCTTAACACTGTGAACGAATCGAGTTGCTTTGATCAAACCAACTAAATTTGGTACGAACCTCGGCAAGTGTGCTATCATTTTATCCTAGAATTTTATATTTTTCATTGATACTGACGGTAAGTGCCTATGTATACATATATTGTCAAGTTTGCGAAATAATTGAGGTTATGTCTGGCAGTCGGCGAGTGAATGTGTCAAAAGTGTCAAACGACCGTGTTTTGTTTAGATTCTGACAGTTCTGAATAACATGAAAATTGGTGTGTACGAGAATAACAAACACGTGCATTGTCAACGCAACGTCTTTCTAGAGAACAGTGATACATTTTCACTTTGAAATACGAATAAAATATTGGGAAAAATGAAGGAGAAAAGTAAAAAATCTGATAATTCCGAGGAGCCATCAACGTCTGATGGAAAAGATGGCATTTGGAAGGATCCTCGTTTTGCCCATTTGGTCAGTGATCCGCGATTCCGGAACATTCACAAATCGACAAAAACAGTCAAAATTGATAAGCGGTTCAAGTCAATGTTCGAAGACGATAAATTCAAAGTGAAATATACGGTGGATAAGTATGGGCGACGTGTGAATAAGACATCAACTGATGATTTGGAAAAATACTACGATATCGATTCCGAGGAAGATGAAGAGGAACAGCGCAAAGAAGAAGTCGAACTGTTTAAAGAAGGTGGTAATGTGAACGAATTGCACGAAAGTGATGAAGAAATCGCCGAAGACATTAAAACGAAGCTCAAGGATATGAGCGTCGATTATGCTCGTGGCGAAATTCCATTGCTGAGTGACAGTTCGTCCGACGATGAGTCGTCGAGTGATGAAAACGACGAGGAACTAAAAATCGAGCACGCTTGGGGTGATTTGGAGAGTGAACAAAGCGATGAAGACGATGAGAATGATGGAGATGTAACCACTCGCCGGTTGGCTTTAATTAAAATGGACTGGGATCGAATTCGTAGTGTGGATATTATGGTATTGCTCAATTCATTTCTGCCACCGGGCGGTTCAATTCTTAGAGTGTGTATTTACCAATCGGACTATGGAAAAGAGCGAATGGCTGAAGAAGAAATGAAAGGGCCTCAAGAGCTAACCGCAATGAAATTGAACAGTGATGATGAATTCGATTCCAACGATTCAGAAGCAGTCGACGAAAATGAGGATGGCGATGAATATCATATGGAAAAATTACGTCAGTATCAATTGAACCGACTGAAGTACTACTATGCAGTTGTTGAATGCGACACACTTGAAACGGCCGACAAACTGTGGCACGAATGCAACGGTCTTGAGTATGAAAGTACAGCCACAAAAATGAAAATCAAATTCATTCCGGATGACATGACCTTTGACAATCCGATGAAGGATCAATGCACTGAAATGCCTGATTTGGCCAAATACAAACCGCGAATGTTCACCACAACGGCGTTGCAGCAAGCTAAGGTATAAAGAATTTTTTCCAGATTCCCGAAAAACATTTACTAAAATAAACGTTTCAATTTTGAAATAAAAAATTAGGTTGAATTGACATGGGATGAGAATGATTTGGAGCGTGCTGAATTGAATGAGAAGCTCAACACAGGCAAACTCGGTGAGATTGCTGATTCGGAGTTGAGAAAGTTTGTGGCATACAGTAGCGAAGAAGAGGAGCCTGATCATGATGAAGATGATGCTATCAACGAACATTCGGAAGCCGAACAAAAGTCCGACGACGACGATGCTTTTGAAGCTGCTGCACCAAGTAAAAAATCACACAAAAAGGAAGATGTCATATCGAAGTACAAAAACTTGTTGAACGATATCAATAAAAAAGAGCAAGAGAAGAAAAAGAATAAGGTCGAAATGGAATTTTCATGGGGAATCGACACGTTGTCGTCTGCTAAGAAGCACGACAAAGACGACAAAAAGTCGAAAGACGTCGATTTGAATCCATTTGAAAAATTAATCGAGAAGAAGCGTGAGAAGAAACGAGCACGCAAGGAGAAAATACGCCAATTGAAAAAGGAACAAAATCAATCGAACAGTGATAGCGACAACGAGAGTGAAGACGATTTACCGGATGGAATCGATTTGAATGATCCATACTTTGCTGAGGAATTTGCAAACGGTGAATTTGCCCCGGCTAAAACGAAAAAATTTAAAAACAAGAAGAAACAAGCAAAGAAAGATGAAGACGAAAGTGAGGATGAGCCCCAGAAAGAGTTGGAGTTGTTGTTGGACGATGATGACAATAAGGCTCATTTCAGTTTGAAAAAGATTCAAGAACGAGAAAACGAAACGAAAACATCGAAGAAACGTCGCAAAAAGTTGAAGAATAAGAAAGACGAAGAAGATAAGAAAGTGATGGAAGATGACTTCAAAATCGATACGACCGATAGTCGATTCTCTGCCATTTATTCATCGCATTTGTTCAATATCGATCCAACTGATTCGCATTATCGTAAAACCAAAGCCATGGAGACTCTCATTCAGGAGAAGCTTAAACGTAAGAATAGCGATACAAATGGTAAGGGTACCGCTGATACTGGTGAACCAACGCAGAAGAAGCGCCGAGACGTGGCCGATAGTATTTTGATTAAAAGCATCAAGAGAAAAGTTCAACAACAAGTCTAAAAAACTGTATTGCAATTGATTTTTCGTATGAATAAAATAATAAATGTTCATTTGTTAGAAGCTTTCATGTGCGGCGTATTGTTTTTCTCTTCATTCTCCATATAATGATCGATATACTTTTAGCTACATAATTCAAGCTGAGAATATGTTCAATCAATGCAGGCATGTAAACGATATTTCCCTTCCCTACTATGAATACCGCATTTATCTTCATAGCATCTTCATTACATTATGAATAATTTTTAATCAACTCTAAGATTATTTTCGAGCTAAGAAATGAGCTTGCAAATGATATGTAATAAGAAAAAAGTAAATAATGAACCAACAGCCAATTTTGCTTTGAAATACCAACGAATAATGTGAACGAACATTCAATTTCAACAAACGTCAGACAGTATCTGTCATGTATGAAAACATTGACATTTGAGTCATAACAATACCTCCAAACGCATTATTCAAAAAAAAAATTGAGCCATAGTTCAAATAATTAGACATGGCTATGAATTTGCGGCATAAAATCCAAAATGCCATACTTTATTCATACAACAGAAAAATATGCAATTTTTAGCACTAGTACATGAAATGTAGAGCTAATAATTTGCTCTTTTTTTTCTCAATACTTTTTGAGTGATGAAACAAATTATGGTGAATTTGAATTTTATGCTCATATTATTTATTTAATTTAAACCAAAGGCAGTATATTCCAAAAAAGAAATAAAACCAAGATCTTGTAATTCATTTTGCAAATAAATATACTTACTTTGATGAAATACATTTCATGTAGTGCGCCAGAAAATAATTTGTTGTGAAACAACAAAATAGATTAAGTAACGAAAAACTCAAGAACGCAACCAATTTGTTGGGGAAGAAATTATTTTATTTTTATTTTCAGAAGAAGAAAAAACGATGTAGAGAGTCTACTAGCGACATATGATTGATAATCTTTTTCTTTTTAAACATGAAGTTTTTAAATATGAACTTTGTTTGTTTCCTTTTGCTTATCTTTTTTATCCAATTTTCTTATAATTTAAATGAGCTCTAGCTCATGGGCTGATTTTAGATCTAGATGAGACATTTTACTATTTTATTTGACATTAAATATTAGGTATATTGGCAGCAAAGTGAATTTAACCAAGATAGAAAATGTTGCCATTCAGGTAGCCATAACCGTATCCATTGTCTGAGTCGGCATCCGAATCGTGATATGGGTACCAAAAATCATCATCATCCGACCAGAATGCATCATCTTCGTCGAACGTGAGATCATCATCATAGCTGGGCTCTTCTTCAATTTCCTCGTCAATGTAGAAAATGTCACTGTTCTCGGCTAGCACGCACTCATCTACTTCGACCTTATCACCACTGCTCGTGATTTTAATCACAAGTTTGATCTTTTCTCGGCGGCTTTTTACTGTCTTCAGCATAGCCTTGTAATCATCGACATTGACTTTAATGCTGTAGACTGATTCCAAGTGTAGCAGTGACAATTTTTGTGCATGTGCCAGCATATTCTTCAATCCAATGATAGTGACATCGCTGGGCAGCTCCTTCAAATGAAGCACGTCGAGATTTGGCAGTTCTTTGGCCAACTGAACCAAATGCTCGTCAGTCAGCACACCCATGTTTTCGTTGAGTTCCAGCTTCTTGATTTGTTTCATCGCGCAGATGTATTCGATGGCTTTGCTGTCCAAGTCACCGTTGTACAATTTCATGTCCTCAATGGGAACTTTGTTTTCGACCAGAATCTTCAGCAAAGGTGTGACCAAGAGCAAATTAAAGTTCAATTTCAGCACTTTCAATGCACGCAATTGACCCAGACCATGAATGCTCTCCTCATCCTCGTCGCAAATTTCTTGGTCGATTTCCAGTTCAAGTAGTTGATGAAGATTACGGCCAATCGAACGAATTGGCTCCGAGGTTTCCCAATCTTCGCTTCGAATAATCGACAGTTTTGTCAATTGCGGATTCATTTTGATGAAACAATCGATTGCATTTTCATCAAAGTTGTGGCATTCGATCAAGTGTGCCTCTTTCAGTTTCACAAAGTGTTGTTTGATGCACTTGCTCGTGTTTATGTCACAGGAGTCGAGTCGCAACGTTTTCATTTCCATGCAGACGCTGTGGAAATCTTTTACACTCTTGCTGAATTCACAGTAGATCATTTCCAATTGCTCCAGTTTCCCGAACAGTGGACGAAACTTTTTCATTTTTCCCGTGATATGAAAGCCGAACAGCTGTAGCTGTTTCAATTCCGTACAGTACCGTGACGCGATGCGTAGGAATGGAATGTTTGAATCCAATGCCAATTGATCAATCTTGAGAGTACGAATCACTGATCCGAAATTGTTCAATATGTTTTCAATTTGGTCCTTTGTGATTGGTTTGTAGTCTAATCGATTGCGATTCAGTTCCAAATCTTTGTATTTGTCCACAAACGTTTCTTTTGCTTGTTGATTGAACCGGACACATGCATTGGCAGCGTTCGATAGATCAAACAAATCCAAATAACCAAACACTTCCCGTAAACAGTCATCATTGAGTGCGATCAAAATGTGCGACGTTGAATCCTGTGCGGGTGCAATCAGCAATGGGTTTGGTGGCTCTTGCTCTTGTCCATTGTCTGGCTGATGATGAAAATCGGCCGCTTTTACCTTGACGCTACAGTTTCCGATTCGATGCCATCCCTGGTTCAAGGCAATTTGAGCACTCTCAACTGATTTGAATTGCACAAAACCGTATTGGAATTCGTCTTTCGAATGCACTCGTACGGATTCCACCTCTCCAAAGCATTCAAAATAGCCTTTGATTTTGTTGACAATCTGAAAACCCGTTTATATTTCGATAAGCCATTGATTTGATGTGGCCAAATTTGCAATGAAAATACTCACGAATGGCTTGACTGGCGCAATATACAGCGTTCGAATGGGAACTTGACCATTGTTGTTGTTGTTCTCGGTAACGTTGCGATTTGGACGTTTTCGGTTGAATCGATGCATTATAACCGTAAATCAACTAGTTTTTCTGTTGGCGAAATGGTGGAATACATCGATAAAATTACCGTAAATCGATTCACTTGAACATTTTTAACCAAAGTAAAACTATAATGACGGCACTTACATTAACTGAAAATCCAATTTTCCAAAATCGATTGAAAAACTAAAATGTCGGAACTGTGTGTGCTACTAATTTCGATCAAAAAATGTATTATTTTCTATGCCGACACTTATTGAAATTAAAAACAATTGATTTGAATCTGACTAAAACATAAATTTGTGTTCACGTTTGAAGCGGTACTTTTTTTTTCCACTGCGCAATTTTAGCTGAAGGCGCAAATATATCTAGAGTCGTTGCGATTCGCTGGCGTCGGTGTTTCGATAGAAAGTGTTGTTGCCGGTATGCAAATGTCAAACGAATTTTCTCTCGTCGACTCAAATATCACAAGTGGCTCTATCTGTATTTGTGAGTCATTGTGTTGGTCATGTATGCTACGCTTTAAAGTTGAAAATAAATGTGATTGTGTATTCGTTACGCATAAAACCCTTTGAGATATTGAGCTCGGTTGCAAGTGACATGAATTTCTGCATGCAAAGCATAACTCAATCAAACAGCATTCTCAGTAGAACAATTTATCAACACAACACGTTGAATCAGCTTCAAAACTCGTGTTAAGAGAGGAAATGAGCTCGCCTAAAAATCGGAATGTTTATTTAAGAGGATTTTTTCTGTAAACAGTACGTTGTTTATAGTTTGTTTCTTCAGAAAAAAAGAAAGATGACTAACTTACATAGGTCATCGCAAAGTTACTGTTTTTATGGTAGTAGACGTTTATTAATTTCGATTATAAAATGCCTGAAAAGAATTTTCTTTACAAACGTTATCACTGAAATATGCGTTTTGTTCGCAAGATGAATTTTTGTTCAAACACATACGCATCGTTTTTGGACGTGTTTACATCAGAACGAAAAGTTTCATTACAATACAATCCTACGGAATAGTGATAATTTATTGATATGAATATGCGCAAATTGAAGAAAAAAAATGTAAATGAGTGCGATAAATGCTAAAATAATATGACGAAATAACTTAACTTTTCATTCAATCAGAGTACTAAATGAGTTTATGAGCCTTGCGTAACAGCAAAACAAATTTCTTTTGGTTATCAAAGTATTTGCTTGAGATTGAAATAAACATATTATGTTTAATAAAATCATTGATCTGTGAAAGCCCAATGTGAGATAAAGTAAATAGTACGTAGCTCATTTGCAATCTATGCGAAATGAGCCGTGTAAACATAATAATCATTGAAAATACTCTACAAATAATGAATAAGCGATAGGTTTCGTAAATGTTCATATCATGAATATTGTATTTTATTTTTAGATGAAATTTTCAATATAAATTGAAAGACCTGATAATCGGCCTGGCCTGTATGCGTCAGTTTTTGTTTTCAAAGAGAGATAGAGTGAGATTTCATTACGTTGCCAAAATACGTTGATTTGCCTTGCTGCATTATTACTTACGTATCATCCCTTGTTCTGGGAATGCGTAAAAACAAGAAAATGAGCATCATCGTTATCAGTCATTTAGATGAAACAAGACTTCGTATAACGAGTTCTGTTCAAGTCGGTTTACAATAATGACCGATATTTGCCTGTATGCCGAATTTTTTTTAGGGCAATTCAGTTTACGCGCATCACTCGAAGCGGTCAGTCGCTTTTTAGTTGTGTTATTCATTTAGTACATATAACAATGAAGGCAAATCACATGAACTGGTTTTCGGTGTTAATGATTTATTCATTGGCACAGATCATTCACTCAAGTGCTGTGACATACAGAAAGTCGAATGACCCACGAAAAAATTTGTTTCCACTCACTTTTATTCATATTAATGACTTTCATGCTCGGTATTAATGGGTTTTTGAATATTTTTTGGTTTCGGTTTCATTTTTGTCTTGAAAATAAGTTTGAATTTTGTTTATTTTGTACGATTTTAGGTTTGATGAGACGAATCTAATGTCGGCAGAATGTAGAAAAAATGACGTATGTATAGGCGGGTATGCTCGTTTAGTTGCAGTGGTAAAACAATTGCAGAGATCACGATCGAATCCAATCTATTTTAATGCGGGAGACAATTACGCTGGTACAATATATTGGACTTTTGGAAAACACAATATTAGCAGCTATTTCCTGAACTTGCTCCCAGCTGATGTGATGGTATGTTGCTATATTCAACTACCGCGGCTTTAAAGAGGAAATGGAGAAATATGTTGAATTACTTTTCGTACACAGACCATTGGCAATCACGAATTTGATGGAGGGCCAGACGGATTGGTACCATTTTTGGATAGAATCGAATCTCCATTGGTCTTGGCAAATGTTGATTTCACCGACGAGCCGCAGCTACAAGGAAAGTTCCTCAACTCAACGATATTGATACGAGACGGTCGAAAGATTGGTGTTATCGGAGTCATTGCAAATGATACGCATGTAAGAGTTAAATCCCCTTATTTCGAATTAAATGATTCAAAGCATTTATCAAATCAATTCAAATTATCTTTGCAGACATTGTCGAAAACCGGGAAAGTAAAATTTCTAAATGAAGTTGATACCGTACGATATGAAGCAGACAAACTAGATAAGGAAGGTGTCGATATAATTGTCGTTTTATCGCACTGTGGCATTGATGTTGATTTTGAAATAGCACGAGGGGCTGGTTCAAAAATTGATGTAATTGTAGGCGCACATACACACACTTTCATGTACACGGGCGATCCGCCTGGGCCGGACACACCAGAGTACGATTATCCAGCTGTTGTCAAACATAGCAATGGACACAACGTTCTGATTGTTCAAGCGTCGGCCTATGCGAAATACGTAGGCGATATGACCGTTTATTTTGATGGATTGGGTGAGGCGATTCGATGGACAGGTCAACCAATTTTCTTGGGCCATGGAATTCAACCAGGTATGTGTCAATGATTACTTGTTTCTTCACCACACTTGCCTGCTCCCATTTGGCAATGAAACAGTTTTGGATTTTTTTTTTGTTCTTGTATTTTGTTCACGGAGATGAAAAGAGAATTCATTCATCTCAAAAGTGTAACAAACAAGTGCACAATTGTACTCATTTTGTCTCACTATCCAGTTCTCTCTCTCTCTCTCTCTCAAAAAGAACATTTTCACGATGTGCTAATTCTTTTCCTTCCTCTTCTTCTTGTTCTTCTTCTTCTTCTGTATGATTCTCACTCATTAAATACGACGATTGCATAGTATTTAGAATGAATCCGTCCGTTTTTTTTTTCCTTTCATTTTACATTGTTTATAAGCGGTGGTGTGTAAAATGCACTTTAAATATGCGCTTCGTGTACATGTCACCGGCGTGGATGTCTGAAACACCGAGCAGAAGTTGAAAAAACATGAAAAAACAATTATTTATGTCTGCATGTACTCTAGTTGGCCACTCAACAAAACACCAACCGACTTATGGATTTTTTACTTATTATTTTTTACTTATGGCCAATTTTTACCATCAGATGAAGAAATCGTAAGAGAACTAAATCCATGGAAAGAGAAGTATGAAAATATAACTCAACAACCAATTGCGACAACTTACGTCACACTAGATAACAGCAATTGTTTATATGCGGAATGTATTATGGGAAATGTTGTCGCAGATGCTTTCCTCAGTTCATATCGCAGTATGAGCAATGATACAAAGACAGCGATTGCATTAGTTCAGTCGGGAGCAATACGGACCACACTGGTGGAAGGACGTGAGTATTTGAGAAATTACAGACTATTTTTTGTTTCACTATTTTAATAATAATGAACTATCCATTTGTCTGACTTGTTAGCGATATCATTTGGAGATCTAATTATGGTGGTTCCGTTCCACAATAGAGTTGATTCATTCGATTTGTTGGGTCGATACATTTGGGAAGCATTGGAATACAGCTCAAATGAAGTAAATAATGAAAACACACATTTGAAACAGTTTTTGCAAATTTCAGGTAAACTCTTCGAATGGCTAATCACGTGAATTTAATCTAGGGGCTAGGAACAAGCTGTATCATTCGTATGTATTTGCATATATTCATGCGTTCGTGGCCTTGTTATTGTTGTTGTAAACTCACTGCGCTGCGAATGTCTCGTATACACAATCACAAGAATTCACGAATATTCGTACGAATTCGTCTCAAGCGCTTGTGTTCCTACCCCCTAGAGTTTAATATACAAGTAAAGAAATTATTATTTATCAATTAATTATTTCAGGTTTGAGACTTGTGGTGAATGCCACTCAACCAAAAGGACATCGAGTAGTTGCAATCGAAATCCTGTGTGAAGAATGTACGCCGGTTGAATATAAACCAATCGATTTGAATCAAACATATCGTGTTGTTGCAACAGATTTTCTAGCTAACGGTGGCAATGGATACACCATGTTCTCCGAACACATGCAAAATTATGCGTAAGTATTAACGATATTCAATGAATATTATTCGTGTATAAGTTGCGAATATTTGCGCCAATATCATTCTTCAATATTTGTTTTTTTTTTCTATTTGAATTCATAGAATGGGCGAAATAGACGTTGACGCACTATCAAATTACATAAAATCAATTGAAAAGGTGGAAGAAGTGGAAACTGGTCGAATTATTGTTCTGACCTAAGCTGAATGAGTAATAAACAATGTCCACGCGTCAACAAATTTTCAACAAACAAATCAATTGACAAAGAGTGATGAAAGCCATTAGAGAAGTACTCGAGAATATCGAACGATTTATCTTATCTTTGTGCAGATTGTGATTCATCGAGAGATTGAATTGACCGATATCATTTTTACGATATGCATATACATGTGAGAAATGATCGCTATTTGTAGGAACGACGCGAAAAAAAATAAGTACGGGATAATTTGTGATTGTGTTTGTTTATGTTTTGGCAATCGCATTTCCTAGTTTTCATGTCATTAGTTGTTGATTGATATTAGTATATGCATATCTTATCATTTAGGTATTGATAATGAATGTTTTTTTAAGGTGATTGTTTATTTGAAAATACGTTTTGAATCAGTTTAATAAAATATTGTGCCGACGGAACATTTGCACTTGATATACAAAAGTGAAAAGGGTTTTTGATTTTAATTGTGTTATTTCAATCGATTGCTACACAAAATGACTTCTGAACTATCCGGATTTCGCCGTTTTTCTCACGGAGCTCCACCACCACGAAGAGGATCTATATTTTCGAATGTACAACGCGGAACAGACCTGCAAAGAGGATCGGTTGAGTATCACTATTTATTTAACTCAAATTTGTTTTTCACGAATATTTGCCCTAATATGGTTGAATTAAATTCTTCTACAGGTTGTCAGTATTGCCACCACTGCAGCACAAACAACTGGACACAGTTGGTGTTACATTCTGCGGGCAATGCAAAGACAGAACTACTCACTTGCACCTGGTTTGTGAACAATTGAATTCGTCTCTGACCTAGTCCGATGGAATTTTTTTTACAAACAATCTATTCTTTCATTCATCGGCATTAGGTTTCGGCATTTGCACTTGTGCCATAATTATCAACAGTCATTTTTATTATTTCGATATCTTTGACAAACTAAGCGATATTTACGATGGAAAAAAATACTACACACCAATCGATGTATTGAAGATAGCTATGTATTTTTTGGGCGCCTGCATCGGCAGCATTGTGTGTGGCAGTTATCAGAACACTTGGCCAGCACGATTGTCTAATGTGAGTCATAGCTATTTTTTTAAAACTATTTTCATTGTGATGATGATTACATGATATTTCAAGTGCTACATATACCTTATTTTTCTATTTGGACTTTAGTATGTCATCGGTGCGATTTTATTCGCGTCATGTGGCTTCATGTTTTGGATAAACGATATCGCAACTTGTATTGCACGATTGTTGGCTGGATTTTGTTACGCGTTCACTTATATAACATTGATCACTCAAGTGGCCGACAATGTAATGAAAACGGTTCGAGGATATATGGCAAGCGGTTTGGCACAGTCTACAGCCTTGGTTTGTTTGAAAAATTGAATACGTGTATGACCTAGTTCGATGGAATTTTTTTTCTTGCAAACAATTAATTCTTTCATTCATCGACATTAGGGCTTAATACTGGGCATCGGATTCAGTGAACATTCATGGAAAACACTTGCTTATATGGTATGGATGCTTCGCATAATACTGCTTGCATTTCCAATAACAGTGCTACTAACGAACCGCTTTTTGACATACGAACCAATTACACGGCTGCTTAAAATGGAACAAGAAACGGAAGCACGAGAAGTGTTGGACGAACTACGTCGAGGAAAAATTGAAAGTTCAGTCATTCAATACGAAATTGAGGAGAGAAAGCTCATGCTGATCGAGGACTATGTTGATGAGAGCGAAGGTTGTGGTTTTCGAAAAGTGTTTAGCAATGGCAATGCAATGACATTACTTTGGCTTGTTTTGCTTCGCATATTGTATGTGCTCACGGCAAACATGTATTTATTCATCTTATCAGCGATTTCAATTTATCAAGAATTAAATTATGTAATGCATATGGTTTTGATGGGGACGCGTTTGCTAATCATGGTCATTCCACAATATTCCATCGATAAATTGGGACGACGAGGCCTTTTGTTAACATCTGGCCTTGGATCTGGTATCTTATTGTTACCGTTTGCCGCACAGCACACGACCGATATTCGCATTCGTGGAGATTTGATGAGGTGATTCAATCTATTTCATTTATCGATTAGGTTCCAGGCCAAAATGCTGCAAAAAATAGTTCGATCAGTGGTTTTCATCGTTGCTAATTTCATTTTAATTTGTAGTCTCATTACTTTTGGAGTACACATTTTCTCCGCGCTCGGAATTGAACCAGTTCAGCCGATTTATGCAAGCGAAGCCTTTCCACTGTCAGTAAGAAATGGGTCAATTGCTATTGTTACGTGTGTTGAATACGTTCTACAAGGAACCATTGCCATTTTGTTGCTTCTTGGAGAAAAACTTCCTCTGCAAATTTTGTTGGTCGTCACACCTGTGTGTGTTCTCTTGTTGACTATCATTTTATTTGTCAAATTGCCCGAGACCAAATCGATGCCATTACGTCGATGTCGCAATCAGTTCAACAAAAATATCCCGAAGAAAACACTTCCGTCTCGCGTCTCAAGCATCCATACACTTGGCAGTACTTTTATGTGAATATGAATTTTGTTGAATAAATTCTCCGTCAGTTTTTATTAAATTAAATTTTTACATTATACAATAAAGTTGTGAGTTGTCTTTTTCTTAAATTCACACTGGCTATATTTTGAACGGTTGGTCTATTGCTTGACAGTGAAGTTGAAATTGGCTTCGGCCATTTGATTTGCATTCGATATGAGATTGTTGGGTTGCTGTTGCCAATTTGGCTGTGGCTGTGGTTGCGGCTTTGCTTGTGGTTTTACATCGAAGGTATTTGGTTCGTGCAATTGTTGGTATGTTTGCGGTGATATTTTTCGTATCAAAAAGTCAGCTAAAAGTTGAATGAGTGAATTCAAATAGCCTGAAAATATAAACAAGTATCGAAGTGGAAATTGTTTGCGAACATTTGGTTTTTCGTCTTTTTCATTTACCTGATATCACAATAATTCCGGCAATGACTGAACTTATGCGAATTAAAAAGTGCATAAATCCCTCCTGATCCTGCTTCACAATCACTTTTAACGCAGACACATCGTATTTAAAATAGAGACCTGCCATTCCATGCGACCCTTTGGCGTGATCTTAAAAACAAAAATGTTCCGTTTCTCAAATCTGTGCTCAGACAAATATTCTCAGAAGGATAATAGCTTACTTATCGGACGAATATTCTCTTTGACCGAATACTGGAAGGTTTTTATATGTGACATAAACGAATACACGTCGGTCGGAACGACTTCGATGAAATATTGTGCTGATGTTGAACCTTGAAAAAATAAATGGAAACTCGATTAATACTCTCTTCCAATCTTTTTAATTGGTCGCAACTAGACGCTCACTTTCTTCTAAAATCTTTTCATCTCCCTCCAATGGATGTACAATGCCCGACGTGGCATCACCAAAACTGAAGCGATTGATACGATGTGAAAAGTTCAATGGGACTTCATCAAAGAGATTGGTGATGTGAATATGGCCACTAGCAAAGTGAATACTTTTACCACCGGTTATATGAAAATTTCCAGCGACTTTGTTCAGTGTCAATGAACCGTGTACTCTGCATGCATCAAACGGTCTGTTTGGTTTAACTGTGCGCTCAGGCAAATTGTATGCTGTTTTGTGACTACCTTTGTGCAAAATATCTTTGAAGATTAGGTTCTGAAAATACGATCGAATTCATCAGACAAAATGAAAAATTTATTGTTTGAATAAAATTGCTGTGTGCACGCACATTCAATGAATGATATTCCTCTCTCAAATAAGCGTTTAAATGTTGTATGTACTCAAAGTAAGTTCTCTGTTCTGGATCTAGATCCCACCACGTATCTTGTTCTTCTAATATTCCAAACGAAAACACATTCTGATTGGTCGAGTCCAAAATATCGGCTCCAATATCTATACAAACGACAATTGTTCAGTTATTTAGCTATGAGCTATTTCAGTTCAGTTATGAGCTATTTAAAAGACACATAGAAAAAATGACAGAAATTAAAAAGCATACTTGAACACGGCGTGGCAATCGTAATGTCGATGTGAATTTTCAGTTTTTCGTCCATATCAACATCTGGTTTAAACTTGAATACTAATTTACAATCCATGTAGTACAACGTTTCCTTGAAAATGAGATAAATAATCAACATTCGGCTGATAATTGAAACTGGAATAGAAGACCAAATTGAAAAATCTTAGTTAAATACCCAGCAAAAAGGACATTCACAGGAGCAAAGGATGCATGTGTTTGTTTTGCTTACGTGTTCCGCCGATTCGTGTGCTTTGTTGACATTCTTCGGGTACTTTTGGGAATGCATCGAGTTGTCGCACCACTTTCAGTGGATCCTTTGAGAATCGTTGACGCAAGGTCATTGCTGTATGTTTCGATCACAATTCATGAAAATCACAAAACTCACTGATGATTGCCGAAATCGACAATAACAGTACGTGGAAAACGTTGTTGCCGTCGTCTTTGGTGTGTGTAATATTCCGTACGTATATTTATCAAATACATCTTCGATGTCATCGGCATGTGGACGTCAAAATAAAGTGGTGAATTTCGTTGTGGTGAATATTTTAAATGGCATCATTCAATTCAAACAAATGAAAAAGACAAAGAGATTTGAAATGATTCAAATTTTTTTTTTCAAATTCATTTTCGATTAAATTAAATGTTATTTTAATCGAAGCAAAATTTGCTATCTACTTTTATAAAAGCTCAAAATGTACTATTCCACAGAAATTAAAACAACAATCTAGAGTTTCACCAGTAAAAAGAGTATTTCCATCGTTCAACTGTCTTCCGTTAGACGATGCATGAAACGAACTCATTCGTTTTAAATCAAACAATACCAAAGCCTCAAGACAGTCGAAAAGTCATAATAAGCAGAGTCCGCGTTTTTTTCAGTAACCACTGCGTTTCGGATAGTTCAAGCAACAAGACACTCCTATAAATTGATAAAAAAAACTGAAATATTCATCAAAGTGATCTGTGCGAAATTTGACATGGTAAAGATTGTGCTGCAAATGTATTATTCGCTTAACTGCCTGGTAGAGTGAAGGTGTATAGTGGAAAAAATGTCGAACAAAGCGTGTGTTTTGTGTAACAGTACCGACGATGATGCACTCCAATTAGGTGAAAAAATTACCTGCGAAGACACAACAGCACATTTATATTGTTTGGTAAGTTAAAATTATCAGAACCGTGTGGATAGGTTTATTTGAAAAATATTTTTTAATTCGAAACTTCCTTTGAGAGTATGAACTCTTTGTTTCAAGAGCGTCACTTGCGTTACCAAGTACATTATATATGTTTATAACAGTTGATTGTTTACAAAATGACATCAAACTTTATTTACATTTGGGTGACTTGATTTGAATGCAGACATGGAAAAAATATGCGATATTTCATTTATACAACTGAACGAATGCGATGAGTAATGGTTTCAATTGTCATTTATAGCTGCTAACATCGAATTTGGTACAAAATGGCGAGGATGATGAAGGAATTTCTGGCTTCATGCCAAAGGATGTAAAAAGCGAAGTTTCGAGGACAAAAAAACTTGTAAGTAATTCGTTATTCATGGACAAATGACAGAATATTCTATTAAAACCTAAAGAAAAGCAACTAATTTGAGGTTATGATCAAATTTGCAGTTTTGCTTTTATTGCGGTGGAAAAGGAGCAACAATTGGTTGTTGTTTGAAGTCATGCCGGCGATCATTTCATTTACCCTGTGCACTGCAGAACGACTGTAGGCTAGAGTTTACCAATACATTTCGTTCATTTTGCCATGATCATCATGATATTAAAAAACCGAATCATGTCCATAAGCCGACCGATTTATGCACGATTTGCTATGATGAAATGGGCAAATACAATCTGATTCAATCCATCCCACTGCCTTGTTGCAACAAAAATGCATGGTGCCACAAATTATGCCTGCAGAAATACGCTCAAACATCGGGCTACTTCTTGAAGTGTCCGCTTTGCAAAGATTCGGATAACTTTCGAAATTTCATTGCTGAACGTGGTGTCTTCATTCCAGACAGGTACCATAGTATGCCACCATAGCCATGGTATTCATGGAATTTCATACAAAAATACTTACTTTCCATCTTTTATTCATAATCAGAGATGCCAAATGGGAAATTGATGACAGTGGACCAAACACTTTCTACGACTTTGAACAGGTACGTCAGGCAGTCAGCGCTTTGAAAATTGAATTGAAACGTACAATTTCAAACCAAACGTTTTCTTTCTTATCTCAGCACACAGAACGACCGTCTGAATGTGAGGCAAAAATATGTAAATGCCACAAAGGTCGAAAATATCAGGTTGATATTGAAAATGATAAAAATTCGCTGGTGTTTTGTCATTATTGTGGCTCGCATGCCGTTCACCTGGGCTGTTTCAAAGGTAAAGAATTCTTGTGCGAAGAATGCACAACTATTGTAAATCGAGCCAAGGAAAATGCTGCAAATACATCATCGAACCGAAGTGATCGAGAAACAAACAGTCGACGATCAACTGCTAATCACAGTCGTTCGATTACACAAACGCCGAGCATTGCTGGTGCAAGTGGTCAACGCTCTGAAAATCGATTCTGTGAATATTTACAAACTCATGCACATTTGGTATCCAAATTCAAATTGCGGGAGTTCAGTATCAACGTAAGGCGCCTAACGGCGGAAGACATAGGTTTTACACTTGAGCCAAATGACAGTGAATATGAGACAGCAAATACGAGCTCAGAAACAAGCGAATCTAGTGACAGTCAAACAGATGACAACTCGAGTGATGAGAATGTCAACAAACCGGTGTCCCCGAACCAAAAAAGACTCATGGTCTTTGCAACTTCGAATAGTGAAAGCGATACGGAGAGCGAGATTGAAGTGAAACCAGCAAAAAGACAACGTCTTCTTCCTCGAAATCAATTCTTTGATTCCGATTCTGATACCGAAATGGACACAGGCACAAAGATGGACATTAATGATAACTCTACCGATTTTATCGTGAATAAACAACCGGAACGGGATTTTCTATTTGGCTTGAGACTACGCCAATTCTTGACCAGCGAAGAAGAACAAATCCGACCAAGTGGTTCAAATGTTCGAAAGCCGCATATCTCTGACAGTTCCGAAGATCAAAACTGTGGCAAGGAAAACGAAAAACCAATAAAAAGTATCGCTGTTGTTCGGCCATTTTCACGTTTCGAGACGTCGTCGGACGAAAGTGTTAAACCAGTTCGATCAAAGGATCGACCACGTCAACAAATATCAAGCAGTGATGAAGCTCATTTCTCACAAACTGCTGTACCAACCACCCCAATGAAAGTGGAAGAAATATTAGGCGAAGCATTAAATACTCATTCAAAAATTAATGCAACGAAACGAAGTCCGTTTAAAAAGAAACGTCGCACGGTCATGTCATATTTCCGTCAAACATCTTCTTCGGACGAGGAACCAATTGAATCGAAACCGAAGCGAAAATCACCCAAATCGAAACAACGACCAATGCCAGAAATAGCACCCAACCAACCGACCATCAATGATTTTTTCAAAAAGCCACTTCATAAAAGCATGTAAAATCGGATTTTTTCCCCTTTTCTCCCCCTACGTTTATTGTTAGTAACAATTAACAACAGTTAGCATGGTTTACATCAATGTTTCCGAAACATTTTATCAGCAGTAAACGAAGTTGAATTGATTTTTTCATTTTTAAAAGGGCTTGCAACGATTCAAGCATTTTTTTTTTGAATGAACTAACATCGAATCGTTCAACGGTTTTTTATATATGCATTTTTTGAATAATTTTACTCCAAGTTAAGCGATGGTTTACTGATCATAAACTTCTAAGCACGTTAATGAATACTAAATGTTAGTAGTATAATTGAACAGAATACTTCTTATCTTTTTGGTTAAATAAATAAAAATGGATGAAAAGAATAAATATGTGATTAAAAAACCTTCATTTGAAAAAACCTTCATAGAATCAGCAGTGAGATGGATTGATCGTTATCATATTAACGAAATAATTTGGTGAGATGCAACACGTGTCATTTTAGTGCGGTATTAACAACAACAGTAAGTACGCATTTTCCCGCTCAAACGACATAAAATGTCAAACTAAATGTGCACAATGCCAATTCAGTGAGTACATGTACATAACCGTGCAAAATTGTGTTTCCAAAAACGATAAAAAAAAGACCCACCGAAAAAAACCAATAATAGTCAATTTGTGATATATGTAAAGTTGGGAAACGTTTCGAAATCGTAAATATTTTCAAGATGACCAGCGAGATATGTATAATGTGCAAGCAGAATGTTGATGATGTTTATCGATTTGGTGAAAAAATCACTTTCGAAGATGTGACAGCGCATTATTTTTGCTTGGTAAAATCTAATTTTGAACGAATTTTGGATAGAAATAGACTTTTATCGGACAAAGACATTTATTATTATGTGTCTCGGTCCATTTTTAGCTATTGAGTGGATATTTGGCGCAGAAAGGAGATGACAATCAAGGTATTTTCGGTTTTATGCCAGATGATATAAAGAAAGAAGCGAAGCGAGCTAAAACATGGGTACATAATTTTGCGTAACCTTTACACCAATGAACAACAGTTTCGTCGAAATTTCTCCGAATAATTCAAGTGTTGTTTATTCGATTTTAGCGATGCAAATTTTGTAAGAAAGCCGGAGCAAACATTAGCTGTTGCAATACCAAATGCCGTAAGGCTTTCCATTTGGCATGTGCCGCTGAGCACAATTGTCGCTTCGAATTCGTGAACTCATTTCAGTCATTTTGTGATGCTCATCATGATATTAAAAAACCGAATCATGTCCATAAGCCGACCGATTTATGCACGATTTGCTATGATGAAATGGGCAAATACAATCTGATTCAATCCATCCCATTGCCTTGTTGCAACAAAAATGCATGGTGCCACAAATTATGCCTGCAGAAATACGCTCAAACATCGGGCTACTTCTTGAAGTGTCCGCTTTGCAAAGATTCGGATAACTTTCGAAATTTCATTGCTGAACGTGGTGTCTTCATTCCAGACAGGTACCATAGCATACCATCATATCCATGGCATTCGTGGATTTCATACAAAAATACTTACTTTCCATCTTTTATTCAAAATCAGAGATGCCAAATGGGAAATTGATGACTGTGGAACAAACACTTTCTACGACTTTGAACAGGTATGTCAGGCAGTCAGCGCTTTGAAAATTGAATTGAAACGTACAATTTCAAACCAAACGTTTTCTTTCTTATTTCAGCACACAGAACGACCGTCTGAATGTGAGGCAAAAATATGCAAATGCCACAAAGGTCGAAATTATCAGGTTGATATTGAAAATGATAAAAATTCGCTGGTGTATTGTCACTACTGTGGCTCGCATGCCGTTCACCTGGGCTGTTTCAAAGGTGAAGAATTCTTGTGCGAAGAATGCTCAACAATTGTGAATCGAGCTAGGGAAAATGCTGCAAATACATCATCGGCCCGAGGTGATCGTGAAACAAACAGTCGACGATCAGCTGCTAATCACAGTCGTTCGATTACACAAACGCCGAGCATTGCTGGTGAAAATCAGAGCGGCGTTATGGGAATACATAGTGAAGAACGATTCGGTGGATATTCGCAATCTCACGCACATTTAGTGTACAAATTCAAACTGCGGGAATTCAGTATCAATATAAAGCGTATAACACAGAAGCGAAATGAGAGCTCAGAATACAATGAATCCAGTGAAATTCAGATGAAAGACGAGAGGGTCATTAAACCCGTGATTCTGAGAAATAAAAGATCGATTAGAGCTAAGAGATCTCGTCAAAATCTCCCTCAAAATCAATTCTTTGATTCCGATGACACGGATGACGTGGGAACTAAGGTTGACATCAACAATAATTGCATAGATGCAGAATTGTCAAATGGAAGTTTTCGATTGAAACAGGTAAATCGTGAGTTATTTCAAAATATGTACCAAATTATAATTGGCTTTGTTTGATATAAGGGATTTCATTTGAATTTACAGCAACACAAAGCGTACATCACAAAATGTGATTCGAAGGACCGCAAAATGGGACAAATCGATCAAAACAACGAATATTTATGTGGACGATGTGGATTACCTGGGGACAAGGCTATTCACAAAACTGATTACATCTGCGATGATTGCGAGCTAGAGCCTTCTCCAAAGAAACGAAAGAAAAAATCTGGCTACGTTGATGATTTGGACAGTCATCTTAAAGATATGAATAATAACAACATTCCAATGTATACCAATACCAATTGCTCACCCAAGACACTCAATCATTTTGGTCAATTTGTGCCGGAAAAATTCAAAATATTCTTAAACGAAGAACGCAATTCTTTCTGAAAATTACACTAAAAGAAAATAGTTATAGCTGCTAATGTTTGTTGACCAAAAATGCACACTGTTTGAATGAATTTGTTATGAAAAGACGATATACACTTCTGTATGTTAGAAAAAAGAGGAAATGAATATATTTATTGTTCGCAATCGAAGGAAACTTTTTTGAATATAGATAATTGTATTTGTCATACCGTACCTTTGTTGTAGTTTAAGTGGAGTACACATTAGAAAAAAAACGAAGAAAAAACAACTGGCGAGTATTCAGTTTGACGAGCATTATGTCATTTGACTCGGTAGGATCATTACCAGCGATTGCACTGATTATTAAATCATTGGCATTAACAATACAATGGGTCGTTGTTGCTGATAAGAAGCAAAACCCGCACAGACACACAATGCTCACTTTTAAAGCGTCGACCGAAGCGTCATTTGCACTACCTACACATGAGCATGGACAACATGCCAACGACAGATATGATTAAATAAATAAATAAATAAGAATTAAGTGCATACAAATGCGTGTACTTTGTGACATTAATACATAGGGAAGTGGTTGAATGTGAGCGTGTATACAATTTAAGTGATTGATTGCTTTGGCTGTATGTGGCTGCGGTTTGTGTATGCAAAATATTCGATTTGCCTCTTATAATCCGCCACATTATTGATGTGAATGAACCGATCGACCAATCGTATGCACGCGGGAAAAAAGCGATACAAAATCGTAATGGATCAAGCGGAGCGAACAATAAATGGAACATGAAGGCTCCACAATGATAAGGGACGATTGACTGAACGAAAGACGAAAAGAAATCAAAACAGAAACAAAACACTGTCATTCAACGCCACGATTCGAGACGTATACATGACTAGCGTGATAGCTGGCGTTCAAAGTTAGTCTGATAAGAAATAGGCATGCTTGCGAATATCGATATTTTGTGTGTGTGTGTGTGTGTGTGTGTGTGTGTGTGTGTGTGTGTCTTCAAAGCGGTGATATCGAGTTGTAACTGAAAATTATCGTCGAAACAGATTGAGCCTGCAATTGTTTCAAGATAACCGACCAATGCCAGGACAACTGATACACATACAAAAACGGTTGAAACAAAGCATAACGAAAAAAATGCGCCTTACTTATACGACAGTCACAGTTAACAATTTGTTGTCGCGCCGCCAATTGTTTATTTCTTTTTGTTGTGGTTTTTTTTTTCATATATGTGTGTAATATATGTACAATATTTCAGATGGGTTCGACCAACACACATACATAGGAAACGTGAATAGCAAAAGACAGAAACGCAGTAAAAGACGACCAAAACACTTGAAACCAAAGTAAAACAACAAAAAGAACAATAAATGGAGCGTATACATAGGAATTGAGTGTGGTTTTCGTTTTGTCGCTAAAAAAAAACGATAACACGATATGGCCGGTCGAAATCACATGCACGTAAAAAATCGAGACTGATTACTGCTCGGCTATCGCATTGTGTGTGGTGTGTGTGCTTGACTGTCGGTTTGTGAGTCGTGTGCCACCACACAGTAGAATATCATTCGCATTTTCGTCGTTGGCGCGATGGCTTGTACTCGAAATTATCACAAATGTCTTGTCGTATACATTCATGTATATATGTCTATATACTACGTCGTATGCATAAACACACTCAATTGAAACACATTATAAATTCTTCTGTATACATATGTGTTCTACACGCTCGTTGTTGGCTTTGCTGTTATCGCTAACGCGATCATGTATGTGCGCTCTCTTTTCAACAATCATTCCCCGTTTGAGTTGGCTCAGTTATGTGCTGTGCGGCCTCAGTGTATTTTTCACTCTCTTTTGTGTTCCTTTTTTCATACGTATGTATGGTTTTTTTTTTTCGCTTCCATATGGCTCTCGCACGACGTACACAGACCGCATTTTACTGATTTTTTTTTTCTTTCTTGGTTGTTGATCATTCTATCTCGTTCCACGGTTTTAGTTTGAATTCTGCGTGTCGTTAGTCACATTCGGAGCGCACAACAATACAAACCTTCAGCCAGTGAGACCGAAAGGAATTGTGTTTCGATTTTGATCAACGAAATTTGTTTACATTTTTTTTTCTGGTGGTCGTGTCTGTTTTCTCTGCGCCTTTTTTTTCTGCTCGGGTGCGATACGTCGTGCGTTTTGTTTTGAAATGAAATTTTAAATAAGTGTATATAGTTGTAGTGAGACAAGCAAATTGAACTAATTATTTTCTTTGAGCAAAGCGTTTTTTTTCACTTCTCTCTGTTCTTCATGGGCCAAGTTTAATTGTGTGAACAATAATAGCGCTGTATTTACATGATAATTAATTAATGAATTTAATTGAAGGAAACCACGACAGTCGATATTGTTCTCCACATGTATGTTTCGCTTTTATTTTGCGTTGCGAATTGCATTATATATACATTCACTATCGCTTATTCCATAGACCTCGTACGCATACAGTGTTTTTTTTTTTAATTCGTTTTCAATTTAACGCAAATTGATTGATAAGTGAAAATAACAAGGACTATGCGGTTTTACTCCTGCCGCTCAAATTCAACTGTATAATTTGCAGAGAGTTTAATTTTTCGCGCTGGAAAAAAACTTACTCATCTGTAGTTGGCATTTACGAAAAGTGTTCATTCATTATCGAGCAAAAAACAAAAACAAAAATTTGCCGACGATAGAAATAACGTAAAAATTGTTTATTTTCTGTTCAGGGCCATCGATAAAACACTCGAGTATAGTGTATGTGCATGAGTTTTGTGTTCATAGAAGCGCGTCAATGAACTACAACCATAAATAGTGATTACAATGAAACGGAAATTTTACGTTAAACGTAATTGGCCCAATCTCGGTGAAAAGTGAATAATCATTGTATGAAAATCGCAATGAATCGACGCCGTGACATTATTTGAAGTGTGTTAAAATTAGGTATTTCATTTTCTGTCTACATTTATCTAGTTTAATTAATTTGTGCATCACTGGTGCAACCACATCAACGATACTGAATCGAAAAGGCCAACGATTCACAATTTTCATATTGAAACCAGAAAAAAAGAGCTCGCACACACAACGCTAATCGAAAAAAAAGGAGAAAAGGCAGAATAGCATTCGGATAGAACTAAATATAGTAATGTGTCTGTCGTGCAACAATCTAGTGAATGTATTTGTGGACTGTGAATGTGGTTTAGCCCGTCTATGCGTGAACAATATTAAATTCATAGCGACACTAAGTCGTCATTTGTAGACTTTGACTGCTGTTATTGTTGTTGTTTCTGCTGCGTGTGTGTGCTTTTTTCTCTCTCTCTCTTCTTTCGCTCTCTCACTCATTTTCTATAAAAATTCAATATGCGCGCATTTTACGCTTAGACGGATTTTCTAATCAGTGTTTGTAATAGTTACGTAGTGCTAACATTGCCACCGACAACCATTCGGTATTACAATTGGACAGAAACAAAAGAATTTTGAAGAAAAACAATAAAGTCAACTCAACTCATCAATCTGGGTTGTGAGCGTGGAGTGATAGAGATCGCGATAAATGCGACGAAGGAGATAAGTCGTTGACGCGCGAACAGTCGTTGTGCGATGCATTGAATGAAAACGATGCGATACACATTTTAATATCTCGGTAACGTGCTACTTGCTCGGCAGATGTGCTTAAGCTGTGCGCGCATACTTTTATTCTTGCAAAAATCAATCGGAATTTTTCCTCTTCGAGATACATTCGATTCAGTGAATTCGCATTTTTTGTGCTGAAAAATACATACATTTTCCATTGTTTGTATTGTGGCTGGCTATCGTTCAGTCGTTGAATGCAATTGATTAAACGATACGAATAGAGAGAGAGAGACGAAGACGACGACGACGACGACTATTTCGTTATGTGACAAGTGTTGTTAAACAAGTCGATATCACAGGGGAAAAAAGTACACACGACACCGCCAATGTTTACAGACAGAACTCATTAAATAAAACGTATCGAGCGACGTTCGATTTTGTACGTTAATTGTAGGTTTTTTCTGTATCTCTCCTTTCATTCGGTTGATTATACAGTGCGCGAACCTTATGCGGTCCAATTGAATCAGCATTTCTTGTGTTTACGTAATTTGAGCAAATGCAAAAGCCATAAATAAACATTGATTAAATAATGGTGATTTGTCTGATAGCGTAACGCGGTTGAATATTGCAAACGCATCAAAACTGAAGTACTGTGAAAACAACACAAATGCCGGACAAAGGCCGTCATCACGTCGAAAGGTGAGTATTGAAATATCCAATTGGGTCCTACATCCATGTTCTCTTTGATGAAGACTTTTGGATTAAATGAAAAAAGAACGAAAAACGAGTTGGAATCACGAGAAGAAGCGGTATAAGCGTTCAATAACTACGCCACGTGCTATGCAATCCTTCCGAACAACAACAACAACAACAAACACACAAGATTTATTATAAACAAGTGATTAGATTTCAATGGAAATTCAGACGGAAGAGTTTTAACGGTTTTATTTAGGTAGACAAATTCAAATTGCTTTCATGAGCACACAATTTATTGGCAATAAAAAAGACAAAAAAAAATTCAAGAGCTCGACACCCCTGCCCAACCATTCAACTCACACATGTATATAATCTACTTGGTGCGATCTTTTGAGCAACTTATCCAAAGGCAGCATGCGCACATTTGTAAATAAAATTCCAGAAACAACTGCAAATTCAACGTAAACACGTTGTGATACAAAGAGTTCCGTCAGATGATTTCAGTATTTGTTCTTTTTTATCTCTCTCTCTCTCTCTCTCTCTCGCTCTGTCTCCCTTTTATTTTTGCTTTTCTTTTGTTTTGTTGTCGTCATAGTGAATATGATAAAACGATACATCAACAATTCATTTAATAAATTAACTCGTTCGTTCACTGGTTTTCATTCGTCTGCTGTCTGTGAATAAATATATGCATAATCTCCGATTCATCCTTTTTTTTACAATTCTCTTTTACAACCGAAAACCCGATTGATTTATGGTGAATCGCATGTGAAGCATTCGCAACAACAACGAGGAAAAAAAAGCAACGACAACTTAAAAGTGTGCATTAAAATATGCGGCCAGAAACCAAACCAAAACTATTCATATTATTCATATGCCAATCTAATTTAAGCGCAAATGAGTCGATGTGTGGTGATTGAGTTCGTTGAAACGTCTGTGGTAATGGGCACGAGTGTGATTTCATTAGTTGTTGAGATAAATTATGTCAACAAGAACAACATCATTATATTAGGATAAAGAATTCGCCGATTGCCAGTAATTTATCACGGCTTTTATTCGATTTTATTATATTGACTGATCCGGTTTATGTGGCTCATGTGATTGGCGCAAGCGCGAGCTCATTTGTTCGCGACCGCATCTTGTAGAGCACACAATAACGTTAATCTGATTTGTGATTTGCATGTGGCAAATGATTTCAAGAAGAATTCAACACACGGTCAACGATTGAGCTGAGAAACGGTTTAGTGGTGTGCAAAAATTTGAGGACACCTTCTTTTATGTCGGCATAAAACAGTAAAATTTGTAATTAAGTAGAGTTCGATGCGCAAAAAAAAAAAATGTTAGCGCCTGGCTGCGTGTAATTATAATTTATTGTAAACAAGTTTCATAAAGTTCAGAGTAGGCAAGCTTCAAAGTAACACACTCTGTGAGAATTGATGGCAAGAGAACATTGCATTGAAGTAGATTATTCACATCTAAAACAATTTCATACCTCACAAAAATGAAACAATCCCATTCGACTGCGAAACAGCCTCAACTTTTTTTTACATTGTTTAAGTTGATTATATTTAGTATTGACTGTTTTTTTCGTAGAAGCTCAACATATATACACACACACCGAATATGGTCAGACATCTCAATTTCGAATCATTAAGCCAAGGAATAAGCGAATGGAATATTTCCGCCATAATTCATTTTAAATGTTGGCTTGTGGAATAAACTATCATTTTGAGAAAGAAAAAAACATGTAATAATTTTAATGTTGCCATTGCTGTTTTCATTTCTTACGCGGCGCGAGTGTGAGATGGGCCATTTTCAAGCCCGTGTGCATACATTATGCGTCAAAGTGAACAATGTGAATATAACATATGATTCAGCACGAAAGAACAGTGTAATAAAGGAATACAAATTGAAATAATAAAAATAATGGCTCTTCATATAAATAATTTTATATGGGGTTTTATGTGAGCGTGTGAGCTTGTGTGTTTCAGTAGTTATTGCTGTTATAGTATCGCAATTTCAGTGTTAGAGTCATAGAGTTATAGCCATTATAAGACGATATCGTAGGTTAGACAAAAGGTTCACAGCCGAAAATATGAATTTTGTTTCAACATTTTTTTGTTTATTTCTTGTTTGTGATATTATTTAAAAATTAACCGGTATAGCCGTTGATTTGCGATGTTTCAACCGTGATATCTTTACACTTTTGCCTTCTTTCAGAAGAGAACGCGTTCACGTTGTGTTACGTGAGCACAACAGTTGCAAGTTCTATGCTGGTCGATGTGGTTTTTTTGTTGTTTCTTTTTAAACATTGTCACATGTGCACGGACGAGCGAGACGCGAATTTATTTTTTTTATTTATACATAAATTTTTCTCTCAAACAATTGAATGACCTTGAATTTTCGGTTTCATTTTTGTTGACGATGTTACTTAATCTTTTCGTCCTGTTCATTTTGCGCTCTAGAGATCCGCATACCATTTAATAGCCGATTAACCAGAGGGAACTTGATTTCTTTTTTATTATTCAAATTTACGGATGTAGCCGTTTTGTTGGCAATGGTTTTTTTTTCCTCGTGAAAATCCAGTCAGATATGTCGTTGCGGAGGCAAAATGCCAAGAAATTGCGATTTCTTTTCCCTACTTGCTGGATGGATACGAACGACATAAGGATAGACAGCAAACAGAAGACAGTATCGGGCTTGGTTGTCTTGTGTGCGCTGCATGTATGTGATTCGACATACAAATGCATATTGACGTAATTGATGCGTGCAAACGTGCGAGCTATGTTTTCCTACATGAATTACAATCAACCGCACGCTTAAGCTCCTATATATATCTGACAATGGAAAATCTACTCATCTCTACAAGTCTGTAAAATTGTGGTATTTTTTGTGTGTACTTCTACGCGATTATTTCCTTAGCCGGAGAAGTCATGGCTTTTGCTAAATACAATAAATTATAATTGTTTTATTTATATGCTGTTCGTTTAACGTTTTTGCAGTTGCAAATCGTCTCAGAGAATGTGTAAGCACACAGCACATACACGCACACACACACACACACACCCAAAACAAAACAGAACAAAAATTTAACTGCTGCTGTTGTTCATGCCACGCGCACGCGCGCACGCGAATCTGAGTAGCGACCATTTATATTCAAAACGTTCTCTCTCTCATTAGCTTACAGTTGGGATGAGAGATTAGTGAAAATACAAAGTTTTAATAGAAACTTGCGCATTATATTTTTTATGTGTTTCTTGAAATTTCAATTTAATTTTAAATGCTCATTTCAATTGGCGTTGCTCATGAAATATAATGCTCGCGCTCACATGTCAGTCACACACAGCAAAATACAATGTACGGAAAGATAGAGCAAAGAAATAAAAAAAAAACAACTTTGTTTACTTTCAATTTATTTGCTTTATGAATTGCGCACTCCAAAATCAATGGTAATGGTGAAAAAAGTTGTTGCAAAGTTAATTTTCACTTGTAAGACGATTTGCAGTGCAATTGTTGTTCAATCAAGAAAAACATGCGATTGCAAACGAACACAAATTCTAATGGGTACATATTCATTGGAGAATAGGCACGATGTGCTCAAGCAAAATATGATGGTGGATGATAGTTGAATAAACATGTCATTCGGCAAAACTTTTGTTGAAAAATTAATAAACAACTCGAATGAAAATATTGTCCAAAGTGCTAGGCAAAATCAATAAATCTATCGACTGGTCATGATAAACGAATATCCTTGTGCGAGTTGCTAAGCAGAGAGAAAAAGAGAGGAACAGTCAATCTTCAAATTCAAACAAAGATTCTTAACAGCTCATTTCGTTCTTAGTTTGTTACTCTTTTTTTTCATTACCTTTGGGCTTACCCAAGGAACAAAGAGCAAAGATATGACAAACAAATAACCAAAATCAATTGAACGCAAGCAAACGGAGTTCCAAATAGAAAAGACTTATATACGGATGGAAATGCGAGTTAAACGCAAAGAACAACGAAGACTGGTGAAGCGAGATTATTGCGATTGTAAATACAAATCAATGTAAATAATGACGAACATTGTGCTGTGTCGATTGCCATTCGTTTGTCGCTGTCGTTGACGTCGGACGTCTGTCTTCTCGTTACATGTGCATTTTGCATCATGCATTTGTACATCATCTGATTATCACATCTTTTACTTGCACACAAACATCCGTTTATTGGCATTCTTTTGTCTCCTTCTCCCTCTTTCTCTCTCTCTCACTGTGTGTTTTCATTGAGTTTTGCTTGCGGCTAACCAAACATCGGCAACTGAAAACGAGATTCCTCGCCGAGTCACCGAGTCGGAAAGAAAGCATTGCACTGCATTGCACTTGCTGTGTGCACTTCGCTCTCTGCAATGCATATCAAACAAAATACAGTACATATTCGACATTGCTGTTTAATTTATTTGCTCAAACCAAACCGGAATCAGTTTTTCAGTGGCTGTTTCTATTTGCAGTGTTTGGGTTCCGATGTCGTTTCATTTCTTTCTCCGCTGCCTATGTTGTGTTGTTGTAGCTGTTGCTGTTTCCACTCGCATTCTTTGTTGGATTTCTATTCGTAGCAGAACAATTTCATAGATTTGCATACCGACTCATCGACATTTTTCCACAATTCCCAATCGAGCACGGACACACTTCCGACATAACAAAACTTGAGCTGCTCGTGCACCAGAATGAATCATCGAATTCAGATCGATACCGGTTTTTGCACGTTCAAAGTTTCAATACATGTATGTATGCATGACGATGATGATAATGATGACGACGATGATGTGAATAACCGCTTGAATCAATTATCCCACATTATTTTTTTTGTTTCTTTCTACATCGATACATAATTCATTATTTCTCAATATTTGTTCTTCGTTTTCCGTCCGTTCAATTCGAATCGGCTACATCCAAGTATTGTTAAGCATTGCTATTTCGCCAAAGATATGCTACCGGTTCCACAGACTATATAATAACTTTACATGTTTTTCCTTGACGCCATAGCAAGTTTATGATTTCAGCGGGACTCGAACAATTTGCACTGCTGCTGCAGTGGCTGTTGCTGTACGATCCATCGCACAAAGAATTCCGAATGAACTATTTTACGGCTACTGATTTGGTTATTGCTCTTCAGTTCATCTTATTATTTCCATCATGCAATCCGATTCATAATTTTCCAGTCGACACGTTTCCTACGCTCGCATTATCTTTTGCAGCTCATTCTCCAGAAACGTTCCGTTCTTCTTCCTTTGTTCGTTCTTCGCACACTTTCGCCATTCTCCAGGGAGGAAAATGGTGTATTAACGATGATTATGTTTTGTTTATCAATTTCTAGTCTTGAATTTCAGACTGTGGCCGTTCCTCAGTAGTCTGAGCAATCGATTGCCTTTTTATTCAAAATTAGATCGATTACATTCTGTTGGATACGTGTTTTTTCTGATTTTTTTTTTTTATCGTGGAAATACGCCGATTAAAACCATCACAGCTCGAATGGATTTGTTGCGATGAAGTGTGAAACAGCAAACAAAACACACACACTTCATCAATAAAACACAATGGACGTGTGTATCAAACGTAGTGCTTGAAAGATAATCGTATCATATTTCATTATCTTATTGTATTCTCTCTGTGTTTTTTCTTTGATTGTCATTTGTGATACATCCGAAGTGATAAGATAATTAGTAGTGCTAATGAAATCATTAAAACGACTATTAAACAGCCGCTTCAAATGTCTAATTAATGCCCATGTAGTATTCAAATGGGTTGATTCTAAGTTACACCAGATTTGGCGACTGTTGGTTCCTTGTTTTGCCTTTGATTTATATGTGAATTGATCAGGTGAATTGTACGCATTTAATTCATGTTGTATTAAACGTTTAACTTATAGGCAAAGTGACAGTAAATATTATCAAATATCTATAAATGATAGATTAGATATCAGAAGTAAAACACAAAGCAAAAAGACGAATTACATTCTAAAATGACATTTAATGAACGTGATTATGAGTGTGTCGAGTGTGTGCCATTGTCGGTTTTTTTTTGTTCATATTTTATTCCTCATCGGTGTGGATCTACAGCTACACTGCATGGAACGACAAATAGTTTTCATGTAGATTGTCTACTTATTAGCTGAATGTGTACTGATTTATTTCAACGTTTTTGGAATTGTACAAGAATAAAGCAAACGGTTTAAGCGTCCAATTGAAAAATGAGATCGATTCTGGTTTCTTTTTTTTTTATTCCAGCTAGCCTGCTTCCAAGTACACAATAAATTGGAGTATGTCATGTGGTAACACTTTATAACACAACTATGCATGAATTTCATTTGAGCCAAAGGCATACAGATCACTGTGTCCGTTATCATTCAATTAATGTTGATTAAATTAAATTGAAACTGAAAGAAAATGATGTTTCTGCACACAGCAACCTTTCAAACATTGCGCAACTCATGTTTCATGCCAAGGAAAATCAAACAAATAAGAAAAAAAAAAAAAAGAACAAGAAGAAACAGAACAAGAAACAAAAAAGAAAAAATAAACGTCAAAGAAGAAATAGAATAAATGCCATTGCGCTGTGAATACTTGTCAACGCTAGCTCATCCTCTTCGCACAAAGAACACAATCAGCAAAATCAAGTTATAAGCTAAAAGCGAAATTAAGCAAAAATGCTAAATGAAATAAAACGATTGTCACGTCTCGCTCGCTCTCCTTCTCCCGCCATCCGTATCCGTACATATCTGGTCTTGCTCGTTGCTCTGCCAAAGACGTTGAATAAATTGCACACATGCGACTTACGAATGATGTACAGAAATTTCTGCTTGTCGACTAGATTGTGAGAGCTAAATCATTTTGAAGCCATCACATCCAATTGATACCAACAAATGTCATTTTATTCTGCATTGTTTGTCGCTTTGCAAACGAACGAACGATGGACACCAAGATAACAGTCTGCCATTGATACGGTGTCATTTGTGTCGTAATGAATCATTTGATTCCATTCCAAATGCATTGCCATCAAGCAGTTCTTTTTTTTATTCGCCACGTAGCGCGCAACCTTTGACCTCCGAAGGACGTGTCTTTAAGTTATTACAGAATTTTATTAAAATTCCATCTGGATTTCGTTTATCCAGTCCACTTTGAGATTTCGGTGCGTTTTATTTACCGTGGCGATTGTAGTACTTAAACTGAAGGACTCTCCTATTCGAATGATCGCAGATATATAAGACACACTTGTCTTTTCGAGAGAAAGAGAGAGAGAAAAAAAAGGAATAATGGGACTAATCAACTTGTCAAATTGGATACGTTGCTCTGATGAATGGCCAAACTGCGTTAGCTTTCTTTTCCCTCTCGCTCTCGCTCTCGCTCTCGTGTTACTCTGTAGACAAATTGAAAATGAGGATGGTAATGGATTTTCTTGAATTCGGCCGAAACAAAAAGAAATGAATTGAACCGCTAAAGAACAACAGCATTAATGAGAAAATATCTAATTGCGCTGCACCCAATCGATTATATGATTAAAATGCTTGTTTCATTTTGCCATGATGAAGATATTGAAAGGCATGATCAATTGATAAGTGGTCATAAAATAAATATCATTAGGCTAAATTGATATTGACTTTCGATTCGCGCATACATTCGACACAATTAAATGATAGACACAACATTTATTGACAGTTTATGTTGTGTAGTTCGCGCGGTAGTGGCGCGAACAGAGCGCAAACGACTCTGACCTCATGGATGAATCCGCCAGCTATTGTGTGAACTGTGTATGCGTTCGTTCGTTCGTTCGTTCGTTCATTTTTTTACTCTTTCTCTTTCTTTTTCTCTCTCTCTCTCTCTCTCTCTCTCTCTCTCTCTCGCTCTCGCTCTTGCTCTCGTTCTGCGTCTCTGTTTCCGTCTTCTTTTACTCGTCGTGCATTTCGCTCGCTAGCGATTGAATGATAAACGATCGAAAAATATTTGCGGTGAATTGAAAGCAAATTTATGGCTTTGTTTGCACATGATTTTATCACTTGCCTATTAATTGGAAGAGAAAACTTGCTCTTGTTTAATTGTTTTTATTATAGTTTGTGCGTGTGCGGTTCGACTGTGCTTCTCTCTGTCTATCTCGGTCGTATACTGAACTTTATAGATGCGCCGAACGAAGTCAAAATGATGAAACACATTAATTGTAACTGCAAACAGCGCGCACCACATGTGTTATGCCTGATAGCCTGTCCGCTTGTTCATGAGGTCCTTGTCGCTCATTTCGCACCATTGAAGCGTAAGATACGCGTCATCATCAGCAGCAAAACAGTATACAATCAATTTTTGTTGGTGTTTAGACTGGCATCGATTTAGAACTAAACAATAGTCGAATCATTGAGGCATGACGGTTGGTCATCCTCTCATTTGATGAAGATAACACTTTGATTGAAATACCAGTTGAATTTTGTTCATTAATCAAACCGAAAAACCTGTTTTTGTTGTCACCATTGGGAAAATCGATTGCTACAAACCAGTGCAATCTGGCCGCATGCCGGGAAGCCTTTTCGGTTTTGTCATACTTCATTGTGAAAATTGCATTTGTGGCCATTTACGACGCCATTCGATGGTAAATTCGATTTAATTAGAAACAGCGATGTGCCTGAAATTAATCAACTATTTCGCTCGAATGCCGAACCGAACACCACCACTCACTGATAATAATTATAATTTAAAATTCAGGCTGCTCTCTCTCTCTCTCTCTGAGTATGAAATTGAGTCAACGTTGATTTGAAGTTAATTACGTTCAATTTATATCGCATAAATTTATTGATTTGCCTCCATTCAACGTACGTATTGTGTTCCAATTGATGCCTTCTAATTTTATTCTATAAGTTTGTAAGTGTAATTATTTTTTGCACGCGAAAAACCATTAGGAATGCACAACGCAATGCTCATCAATTAAGCGAATGAAGCAGCTTCGTGATACGGGACGTTTCATTACACATGTATACATTTCATGTAGTGCTAAAAAACGAGCTGCCGAAGGTTGGACGGCACAATCATTTGGTATGCACACATTCATTTCTCGTTAAGCAAAATTGTGCTCTGATTTCAGAACCGGCTTGATTTGAATCGAGCCGACTGTTTTTGTAAATGTGTCCAGTGCCTGCGGATATAGTTCAAACGGAATTTAATCTCACTTTTCGGCATTTCAAATCGATATCGGTTATCCGTTTTGAATTACTTATGCCAGCATTTGAATGCTTTAGTCAAGTCGTATCGATTCGAGCGATGCATCCAAATTGCAATTTGAATAATTGAAACTTTTGGGCATTGCACAAAGATTCATTCCGTGAAAAATGCAAACCATGTAATTGTGTGACGATAAAGTTGCCTTGAGCGCACCCGTGTTGATTTAATATTGTCGTTGCATTTGCATTCACACACAGATAGCGACTCTATTAAATGAGTTGATAAATGTATCAAATGGTTACATTGAATGGAATAAATTACTTGTAAAATTGGTTCACATAGATAATGCTCTGCTTGTGAGGTAGAAGAGACTGCACTGCATTTCAAAGACTTTTTACGCATAATTTATCACCGCTGCATTTGCATTTGGATTTAATAGCCTGTTGTCGTCGACGGGCTGCACTCCAAACATTCCGTTTGCCATTGCGAAGGGCATTTTACAAGACAAACTTTGCGCACGAAACCCTTCTGCTTACACAGTGAAATTAGATTCAATTTAATTCCAATTATATTGCAGGCCATTTTAAAGAGACTTTCCCTCCGCGCAAGCTTTCTGATTGTAACATTCAAGTCGATTTTTCACTTGAATTTTAATGATAGAGTAAACATTTCAATTCATCAATCCAAACTGAGCTTCAGTCCCCATCGCGATTCAATTGAATATAAAAGGAAACCTCGAAAACCTCGCCGCCAATTAATTCAATCATTGAGCTACAATTTAAGAATGGGGAGGACAACAGATGCTTAAGAACCGAATGAATTACGTAATTTCACCATTCACTGAATAGACGCTACGTCTCGTAGCGTCTTTATCTTGTTGTACACCATCAGCATTGCATCACAACAACGATCCGCTTCATCTCATTTCGCTGCTTCTTAATTGCGGCAAGTGGTGAACAGGAAAGATTACAAAAGTACAAGATTTATAGGCCATAAGAAGCATAAACCGTATCCATTTCGTATGGATCGCGCACCACCTATTGAAAAAGATTCTGATTTTAGTGGTTGGTGAAACAGCGACACAAAACAACAACCGTCAAACAGAAATCTGCAATGAAAAAAAAAACTCGTGCGCGAACATAAAATAGCAATGAATACAGTCACTGAATTCACTCGCTGTTTTTCACTCTCCCTCTATCTCTATCTCAATCATTTGAATGGAAAAGCCAACAAAAATGTTTTAAAAGCATTCAAACATTTCGACAAAAGCTGCGAAGCAGAAAAAAAGACACAAAATGAACAATAAAGTTCAAGTTCTTTTTTGTTGCGAGACGTGACATTCGTCAAAAAATGTGGAAAAACGCAATGGAAAATGGACTGAAACAAACGGTGTGATGTCCATCACGAGTACAAAGATGTCGAAAGTACGTTACAAAGCTCAATTCAAATACCTAAATTTTTCAGCACAAAATTGTACTAATGTAAATTAATACGCTTGATTCTGAAATGTGAAAATAGGGCGACGCACGAAGAGAGGAAGAAAGGGAGTTTTTTTTTTTGGTTTCAATGGTTAACTAAAGAATATGTATCGATTCCGAGCTGTTGTATAATGCGTTGCAAAAACCAGTTCGTTTAAAAACCTGGGAAAAAGTAGGGATATCATATTGAGATTTTCCATTTTTTTGCCGTTTGAACATTTTTTTTCTCTGTTAGTGTTTGCAGATTTACATTCTGTCGTTATTTCTGCGAACCATTTTTATTATGAAAATGCTACAGCACAGAAAAGTAGACGGAATTCATGGTAATGACGCGCACGACGAACAGATACACCGAAAGCTGTCAGCATATTTTAACGTTGGTCTTTTCACTTCGTTTTGTCTTTGAGTTTCTGAATCAAATAAAAAAAAGTGCAACCAGTGAAATTATTAAAAGGAAGAGCAGAAAAAATGGTTGGGATGCAGACAAGAATGAAACGAAAGAATAATTCCAATGACAGCGGTTTATATTGGTGAAATGTGAGAAGGTTGCTGCAAAAACGATTCGACGAAAGAAAAAAAAATGAAAATAGTCCTCTAATTGATTTAATTCCAAGTAATGGAATATGGAGAACAGCAGCATCAGCAGTAGGCACTAACAGCCAAGAGAAAAATATTGTAATAACTATTGGATAAAGAATTCATGCTGTGAGAAAAGTCGGCATTCGACGAACCTCACACTCAAACTGGTGTGTTGCGCTAGAGATGCCCAATGTATGAACAAGGGTTCAAAGACCAGCTTTAAGACTGATTATTATCACTTAAGTAACACTCACAATGGTTGGAATGTCTTGTGCTATTAAGTCAACAATAAAAGTTTCATGCAAATTCATTCATCGCTAAAATGAGAAAAAGCCAAACAAGGCCTCAGCCCAAATCGTCGAAATTCGAAATTTGGTTGCGGCTGAGCGCTTTGCAATTCGCGCTCATCATTCATTTTCTCAGACATGAATTTGTAAAAGTGCAGTCGTCCGTCCAACCGACGTGTTTATCATCAATTTTTCATTCATTCTCATGCTGTGTACATATTAAATGCACGGTTTATCATTACGAATCGAATGTAAAATTGATATTCCGTTCGCTTGTAATTAATTATAGGGGATTTATCACGTACTGAAGTGCTTCACATCAAATCAGCCCGCAGACAAATCCGGCCGAAATATCACTCTCTCCCTCTTTCACTCTCGCCTTTGGGCGGTGGCAGTTGCTGCTCTTTGTTAACATATTCCCAACCACCATGAATAATACTCATTTCATTGGTATTCCACTTGGTAAAAAGCGATTTATGCTTAATTCCAAACCGATCAATAAATTATTTTCACAACACAAACGACGAATTTGTTTATTGGACTGTAAAATGCTGTTTGTGTGCTTAAATATTTGTGCATTATCAACGATTAGCGAAAGGATTTTCGAAGCTTTCTTTGCATCTTGAAATTTCATTTTATTTAACTTCGACTTTGTTGCATCGCATTTCGCTGCGGTGCCGAAGGTAATTGACTTTCATCGAATGAATTAAAAATTGATGTCACCTTTAGTTAGAAACTTCTTCGTCGTATTTTTTATGTTACATTTATTTTCAGCGCAAACTCATCATCGAAAACTAGAAACTGTGAGAAAACTCAAAGTCAAAATTAAAAGTTTCCAACAACCTTTAACTGATAAGTTATCCGATACTTGTTTAAACTTTGCAATTTTGTTGAATATTGACTTCAAATCACATGCCAACAACAACGCATTATTCCATCGATGATGATCATTGAACGAAGACCACATAATACAAATTAACTCCCACAATTTGGATGGAAAATTCAGTTTGATAAACATGTTTTCGTCTACGAAAGAGAGGCACCATTTACTGCCACCGCACAAGCACCACGACACGAAAAAAAAACCCAGTGAAACATGTCTGCTCGTGTTCGATTCACTTAATGGGCATGTCGACCGAAATAATTGTACTGATTGAATTTCGAGCCGCGCAAAATGCGTATATTTGGTATACAAACAAATCAATTTGGGGATATTTTTATCTGTCGCATATTGCCTTTGTTTTGTTGCTTACGACCGAGCTATTTCCACTTTGTGAAAATGACACATACGCTCAAAGGCACAATTTTGCATCAATTTATTTGCAATTGTACCACCACATTTTTTTTCCATTTGGGCTCTTTATTGCGTTTTTTCGTTATAAATAAATTAGTAGAACAATTTTTTGCGAACGTTAAATTTTGAAGTAATTTTTTGTTTAAATTAAATATCGCCTGCAGTTGTGATTTTGTGTAATTCAATTAATTAATATGGGTGGTTTTAAAAACATGAATATATGAATTTCTTGGAAGAAGCATTCAATAACCATCTACATTTGAGCAAACCTACGGATTATATGCACATTTGTGTGTACAGTTTTAACTGGAATTGGAAAATAATGCTTTTATTCAATCGATTAAACGCCATTTCGATCTCCAGTGTTTTTGAAATTCAAATATCACTGATTTTATTCAATTGAAAGTGCACAGCCCAGTTTTACATTGTTCTGCTTCTGAGAACGTTGGAATTAATTGTAAGGACAGTGCTTTCACCCCGTAAGCAACTCAATAGAGGTGAACTGTTGTTCTAACAAATTGACTGTGATTTATTTCCTGATAAAAGTAACTTACAAGTATTTAAATATTGATTCGATTCATAAAATGCTCGAGTTGGGGTCAGGTACGGGTACATGCGCTGCGACTTTGTAATCGCCCACCCCATTTTGTGTCATTGTTCAGCAATTGAACTTTGACCTGAATACTTTCCTTCACATTCAAGTGGACGATACAATACGTCTACGCCATTTCCAAAATGGTTCCAACTAAAAATATCTTCCTTGTACGAAAACTCTAAAGTTTCTTATAAACAAAAGACCATTCTGTACTATTTTTTCCAGGTATTTTTTATATTCTATTTGTAGTACACATCGTAGTGAGGGGTATTTCGTCTTTATTCATTGAATGGAATTTTATAATTTGAAATTCTATCGGTGAATTTGTAATTTAAGCTAGAATGTTCTGCTAAATGACAAGGCTCTGAAATCAGAGGTCGCAACGGGACTTTCTCGGGCAAATTTTTTTTCTCAGAATTTCTGAAAGAAAAATATGTTTTGCCCGAAAGACATTTCATCCATTTTTCACATTGCATGCCGATTCTCCATTTATAGCTCGCTCCTTTTCTCATCTCATTTCATTTTGAAGCAGTTTTAATATTCTGAAATTAAAACTATCACAAAAAGACAAGTTGAACAAAAGATTTCGTCCCAATGGCAACACGGAATGTTATTTGTACAGTAGCTTGAATGACGAGAGTGTCGGAATACCGTTATGAGAAAATATAAGGAGCTGCAGAAAATAATCAATAAGCAAAAAATTCCAAGGATCAAACATTTGGATTTTTTTTCCATTTTACTCAATCTCAAACGATGCGAGGAAATATTGCTAATGCACTTCCACATACCTGAAATACAGCAAGTAATTGGATATATCAAAGAAAAGATATACCGCCTCTGGATCAGAATATAATGACAATATCCAAAAGGCAATAAACATGCAATAGATACTTTTCATCTTGGATTAACATAAAAAAACCAACAAACATAGTCCGATTTGCTCGAACAAAGAAAGAAAAATAGTAAGCACATATTAGAATGCGAGGAAACGATGCCATTTTCTCTTCACGGTTCTATACATTGTTTGGATACGCGTGCAGCATCGTCCTTTGTGCTTATACATACCATTGAGCATTCGTTTATTTCCCGAAGAAACGAGGGCAACATTTCATTTCAGTAAATTTTCAAACCACATCGTTTATGATGCACACAAGTAAAGAATTTTTCCATGCATCTGCGAGATGTACTTTGGAATAGTTATGAATGGAAATTGGAACGTTGGTATAAGCAATTCTTTGCAGATCCACTTCTTTCATAATTCACTCGGACTGCTGAGCTTCAATGGTCATGAAGAATGAATGAAAATAGTCGAAATGTAGATTCTAAAAGAGCTACTGCTTCAACTGATCCAAAAATCATTGCGTGTTCAATGGGTTGAACGAAAAGTTCATGTTGTCTTGGCAAATTAGTAATTTTTTCTGCATTCCATTCTGATTTAATCTAGCAAATCCCCTTTTCCACTTCATTTAAGCAGTGCATTTTTCAGCACATTTTTCTCGAAGCTTTTTTCATTCCGAAAAAAAAAACATGAACGAAGTGCACTTGAAGTTTGCTTGGTAATTTTAAACAAATTTCTCCATGGTTTTATTTCTCCAAGCGAAAAATTGAACTTTTCTTCGTGATGAAAGCAGGTGAACCACTTAATTAGAGTGCAGATTGATTGTTTTCTAAACAAAAAAGACCAAAGACCTTATAAACTCGTGTTTCAACATAGAATGCTGAATATGATGTAGAATAATTTTCGAGAATGCGCATCAAATTGTTCGAAATTCCAAAATAATATCACAAATTTACCGTCAACTCTTGCTCAAGGAAAAAAAAATCGCCAAGTTGCACTCGTTCAAATATTTATACGGATTTCCATAAAAAAGTACTTATTCAATCATGGAACGGCTTGTCTGCATATTTTGAGAAATTTTTCGCCAGTGTTTTTCGGTGGTTCAGCATTTTTTCCAGTCGCTTCATGATACAAGTTTATCTCACATTTTAAAACGGTGGTGCGGCTACAGGCTACACGTCGAAAGCAAAAAATGTTTGTTTTTATGACGCAATAAAATGAGTTAGGTTATTTCAAAGCTGCGCAATTTTCTGTTTCATCTTTAATGGAACTAAGTTCTTGCCACATGAAATATTTCTGGCACTGAATGCACCACAAAAGACATTGCATGTATATATCGCTCGTGGCCATATCTCGTTTGAGTGGATCTTCGGGGCTGAAAATGTGATTTAAATACGAGGAGAAATGGGGATACTTGAAAAGTTTCTAAGGTCGTAGTGCAATTTCATGACAACATTATTTTTTTTTTTATTCAAACGAAAGGTTCACAGAATCGCTTCTTCATTTTTTTTTTTTTCATTTTCGTTCTTCCTCCAGTTCAATTTTATCATCTTTATGTCCGTCTGCGCATCGTTTAATTTGCAGTATCAAGGCAACGGTATGGTTTTTTTTTCATCTTCTCTTTGTAATCTCATGCACGTAATTCCTTGTGTCGGATGCAGATACTTTGGGATATTGCTACGTTTCCTTGTTAGTGACTCAAATTTATAATTTTCATGATGGACGGGTCAACGAGAAAATGCGAAAGAAGCACCAATTGGTCGCATTGTGTGAGATGAATTCATCCCTGAAATTGGTGCTTGTTTGTGACGCATTCATTGAATCTGAACGCACAGTCGCACACACACAAAAAGTACATACTCCATGGGCAAGGATGACCAAGTTTGCCTTTTGTGTTCATTGCTCATACTTGTTGAATACTTTGTTGGCTCTCCATTCGTCTCTCTTTCCACCTTTGAAATGCCGTCGAAGTACAATGGCACCATGCTACTGCATAGTCGTGCCCAAATGTAGAGTTCATAATCCCACGTAATTTCACTTGTTGAAATCATGCAGTAAATGTGTGAATATGAGGATGACATCGGGTACCACAACACTACATTCGTACTGAAGCGACTATCAAAAAAAGAGTTTTGGACATTCGCTCATTCTTTCAGTCATATCATCAACAATTTGAATTAACATAATTTCCCTCTTTAGATTTATTCATTCATTTTTTCTCCCTCTTTCTCTGTCGTATCGCTTCGATTCGCTTTTCATTTGATTCGGTCGTCGTCTACTTTTTATGCCATAGTCATAAATAAATTGCTTCTTTTGATTTGCTCTTTTTTCGAGTCAGTTCGACCGAGTTTGATGAGTATAATCTGAAACGGAAAAATATCTGAAATGAATCATTTCATGTCAAATGATAGACGAGAATCAAAATGCTGGCAAACGGCGTCTGTGTGTGCGGCAACTTGCGATGCTCTTTTCAACTTCAATACTATCACTTTTTTGTCGTTATTCACGTCGCAAGGGAAATTGGTATCAGCTTTTGAAAACGTTTCGATCTACATCGACAAAAACAAGAATGGCTTCATCGGTAATGAGGACAACGACGATAAAATAAATTGCAACGATGATTTTCTAACGCACAGTAATTATTATCATTACTTTGCATCAATTAACAAATTTGATAAATAAACACAATAATCAGAATTTAATGTGAAAAATGTCGTCAAAACAATCAGGCAAAATGTAATATTAATGTATACTGCATACATGAAAACAAAAAGGCCAAATTAATATTAATCATTGTTGTTGGAGGCACTTGCTTTACATTAGTCGATGGCAAGCGAAATTGAATTGAATGCATGCAACGTGTGTTTTGAATATGCGTGTGTGTGTGTTGCCCGTTGATGACAATGCTGAGCTGAGGAAAATGAAAAATAGAAATGGTCGTTTTAATTTTGTTTTTAATGTATTTATGAAGAGTTTAACATTTTTAATAATCGTGTTTTGTCAACGGCACCGTCATGTGAATATGCCGTTAATCAGGGCTGTCATGCACCTTTGCTTCAGTTCACATTTAAATGTAAAGGCACCGCGAGACGGTAGCTTTTCTTTATATGGAGAAAGAATATTGGAAAATTTATGTGCGAATTGCGCAAGTCAAACGAATACCAATACAATGGTATGTTCGAGACAATGTGCGTATCGTTCACTCTATCCACTGACTGTTCGGAGTTCAGCCAGTGTTTGATTCAATCGCCTCGTTTGAACACCTTTCCATCACCAGCAGTCAACCGTTTCATTTTTTCCCTATGAAAAAGAACAAACGAACGAAATCCACCGACAAAATCTCCCGTTTGAAAACGAAACAACCAAAATACGTTGTACGACGGTCCCATATACACTGGGTACTGTGTAAGAGAGAGCAAGAGACGCAATTGAAAATGGAAAATTGTTCGTAGTATGGATTCGGGAAAGAGCCGAAGCTACCGTCAGTCGCGTGCTCGCCACGAATAATGCTCGATGTGCAATTAGAAAAGTTCAATTTGAATTTGTCGTTTAGTTTAGTAGCTACATTTGATCGGTTAGCAATGGCAATGAATTAAGTGCGCACACAACACACACGCCAGGGAAAGAGAAAAACAATTAATGAAATAAATGCTGTTTGAAACTTTGTGCGTTCTGAATTTGGCAGATATCGTCCAATTGGTGGCTGGCACTCGAATTTAACCAGAAAACTAAATAAAATCGTGTCAAACCATTCGATATCGATACAAAAAGACGGAAATAAAAACGAAAACGAACGTTATTTGGCTGCATTTGACGCTAACAGTGTATGTAATAAACTGAAAATCGGTTAAGTGAAATTGGTGGACTCGGTGGTGTGCTTTGTAAATGAGTGTGTGTTTTTTTTTTTAAAAAGCAATTAAACTGTCCAACAACTTTAATAATAGACCTTTAGTACCACACCGTGTTATTTTAAACTAAATCGGATTTCAAGTGGCCGATTTATCGGTGCGTGTCACTCATATTTTTCAATATATCGTGCTAATTCATTATTGTTTAACACTACTAATTGAGACATTACTTTTCGAAAAGAAAAAAAAAACTAGCAATCACGGTGGTAGTAAAAAAGTACAAGCAAAAACATTTTATTCATTACAATCATTTGGCCGAACTGATTAACAATTTTGATTCGAGAATAGTCTCGTGATATTTTTTCTTTTGTGTGTAAACCAACGTATTCAGGGCACAGAGAAAAAAAACACGTTCGATGCAAATAATCCCACATAATCCGTACGTTACATTTAAATCTGATGTGTTACTGGAAAATACATAATCGATAATATCAACAGTCGAATGTTTTTTTTACATATCATCATGCATTGCTTGTATGAAATGCATACGTTTTTTTTTTCTTTCAAAAGAAAGAGAGAAGCTCTCTTAATAGAGAGGATTTAGCTTTTCATTTTTTCAGTTCAATAATTTTATTGATAGACTCTCACCTTTCATACGTGTCATATTTTTAATGCTGTGTAAATTGGTTATAACCATAATATTTGTTTCAATTCTGTGATTATGGTCACTTTTTGATCTTCGTTCCTCTTTTAAAATCGATAACAACAACAACAACAATCCAAGTATTCAATTTAATTTCAATCAATAGCTTTAGAACCGAAGCACTAAACAAATCTGATTGATGTTTTGGTTCCATTAAATTTCATTTAATTTTATTTTTAATGTAAATAAATATATTTCCATTACAAACATCCAACGATACACTTTAAGCCAAAAGTATTCAATCGAATGTGTGTTCGAATCGCAACATTTATTTTCAACTTCGTTTCTTTAAGAAAAATCTTTTTATTTATCGATTCATTGATTGAAACTTTTTGGAAAAAATAACATTCGGAACGCAAATAAAATTGTGATAAGCTTTGAAGTACCTGGATTTTCAGTTTTATTTAAATTAAAACTAGACTGGAGTTGTCATCGATTTAGTGAACCATAAATAATATTCGGTTAAAATAGATGCCGATCAATATTTGGGTTACTCTTGAGACCATTTTTTTTTTTTTTTTTTTTGTACATGGTCTCACCCACAATACCCTCGATTTGATATTTAAAAAATGCTTCCGATTTAAAATACAATGAGGTTTCGATAGAGAAATTCAAAACAATTTCAGTTTTCAAATAACCACTGGTAGATAGATACAAAACCGTCGGTCGAATACTTTTGGCCCACACTGTATAAAATAGTAATTTGCGTGAATGTGTCATTTTTTAGCAAACAAAATGGTGGATAATCCATTATTATTCGAATTATTTTGGTTTGATTAAGCAAATTGCGGCATTCACTCACATGTCAATTGCATTTTATAATGAGAAATAAAATAGAGATACCGTTTTAAATTACAATTATTTAAATGCATGTGATTCAAGCATATAGAGATAAAATAATTGGCCAAATGATTAACATACGATTTTGACATCACCACAAAGTTTAATTACCCAATTGGCATACTTTTATTCTTGATCATAAATTTTAGATAACATCTCATTAAAACATTTTATAGACATGTTCGCAGACAAGCACAAATTATTGGTTTTGTTGAAGACGAAAAAATGAGAATAATTCGAATTGAATGACTTTTAAACGAAAAAGAACAATTTTTTTTTTGAATAAATAAAATACGAATTTCATATTCAGAATTTAAATAGATGAAAAAACGGAATTTAGTGCGAAATTGAAACTTCAGTGAAAATCCGACCGTATTCAAAGGTATGCAAGTGAAATTTATTGATAAAAAAATATGTTTATTTTAATTTGATGAGAATGTTTGCACACAGCACGGATGAAACAACAATTACGATGATTGAATCGTATACAAGTGTTTCCGAGAGATGTTATTTTTAAACCAGTCTTTTTCTACAAATGGCAAAAAAAGAAACATGAAGATTACGATGCCATAGAAATCCATAGCGACCTTGTGACGTTGCCGTCGTCTTCACCAATTTTTTTTTCACCTATTCTTAAATTCGATTATGATGTTCGCACTTCGAAAGGAAAGAAAAAAACAAAATTACAAAGACTGAGTCTCGGAAATGGGGTTTTGCACACCGTCCCGTTACTATACATAACTCTTTGTGTGTATTTTGTTGTACACATTCGATTTCCCGTTTGGCTTGACAGCGCAACAGGTTAAGTCAATTGAAATGTTCCTTGCGAATAATTCATAAGTTGAATAATAAGGGTTTCATCGGAGGCTAACAAGCACCAAAACAAGAGCACACTTCATTTGAATCGGAAAAAGAATGAAGAGAAATGCTCGAGTGCAAAAAAAAAAACACTTTGGACAGCAATTGAACGCAGTTGATTGGCCATCAATAAATAATTCACTTCGCTTCGCATTGTTTTTTGTCTTCTGCTCTCATGACCGTCACCAAAATGGAATTGATGATGGGGACGCAAAAAAGCGGTATCTATCGATGGAAGACTAATGCGAAATGACAGACAAAATCTTATTTCATTTAATGTAGAAACTCAGAATCAGTTTCCGGATGGTGTTTAGTTTGTCATTTCTTTTGTCACAAATATCTTGAGATACAACTGCTACGTTTCATATTGGATTTATGTGCTGATCTCACTGTTCGATTCGGAATATTTCGGGCAGCTGCAACATATCACCTCACACACAAAAAGCGCCATCTGCACATATTTGACTATTCAAAGTGAACTAGCTGCCATCAGTATCGATAAGTCATCGATGTTCAATTTTTGAATAGTCAAATATGTGCAGATGGCGCTGCAAAATCGTTCATCAATGACAAACGTCAAATTAGTATGGAAAGAAGTCAATGTTGCAGCCTCCTGGAATATTTAAAAACGATTTGATTTTGGTGATGTGAAAAATGAGGGCTGCTTGTAGCTAGCTAATGTTGATTTTAGGCAAAATCTCAGAAGAAAAAAAAACCCGAATCAGCAATGGCAGAGCAACGGAGATTATCCGATTTAAGAAAAAAAGCACGCAGTGACCATTTGTCTCATGGCTTCGACGTTTGTTGCTCATTGTTTCTGTCGATGCGCCGGTTTTCATGCGTCAGCATAATCGTTGTTTACGCAATAAACACATAAGCTCCGAAACGAATGAAAGAAAATAGACACACATACAATCCATGGGAAAAGCCTCATCATCGAAAGTGATTATGGATAAAATTGATATGGTGATGGCCGTTCCAAACTCTCGGTGTCGATGCTGGCCTCCGATTTGATTTAATCTATTATTGATTGATGAAAATATTCTCGTTCGACCACACGCACATTTTCAATATATGACCGACACAGATTTATCAAAATCTGTCAGCCTTACATCGTTCCGTAGTATCATTGCCTCTACAATGTACAGCGTTGATATTGTCAGTTGCCTGCATACAATCGATACGAATCTCTTGTATAAACAACGACCGTTAAAAAAAAGAAGTTCTATGCATAGGAATTCTATTTCTTCCAACTTATTTTTTTTCTCTGTCGTTAAGAGGGTAGAAAATAACATAGTATTCTTTGTCTTTATTTACAGGTAAGCACAATACACACATACGATATTTTCACTTGCGTCTGCGTTGTTTTGAACTTGAATCCGAACAATGGACAGTCAATCAGTAACAACTACAACAAACACCTCCATTTTGGGATAATTTATCAAGGTAACAACAACAATAACAATATATAGAAGAAAAAAAAGCAGTGTCAACATAACATAACACAACACTCGTGCATTAAATTTCTATTCACAAAAACATTTTTACATATATATATGTATGTATTTCGCTGATGTGTTTCCGTTGTTTGGTGTGAGCTTTCGCTTGTACCATTACCCAACTGACATCCATTAAATTTGATTGATTCCATTCATTCTGATTTTGTTTCTATTTTTCACTCTTTTTTTTGTGATTGTGTGCAAAGAAAGGAAAACTTAAAAGTAAAATGTGTTGCATTGTTGCTTTTTTAAGGTTTCTTCGTATATTGTTATTGTTCACGTTTAAATATTGTAAAAGGTACGTGTGCCTTGGATCCAAAAATATCGACGCTGACGCTTTTTTTTCTCGAGAGGGATAAATAAAGAAGACGAAGGGTAAATAGCGCGGATAAAAATGTAAAAGCCAATCAGGATTTGATTGGGTGATAAGCATGTAAACGAAACACAAAGTCTTGTGCTTAAAGCAACAGCAATGAGCGCATTCGATTAAATGCATTCCATTTCGTTCAACGTTTGCATACCTTGTATATATACCCGACCGCAAGAAAGAAAATTGAATCTCATCTTGGGATTTGTAATTTTTAATATGACTTAGATAAACATTGTGATGTAAAGTATCGAAGTCAAAAGGAGCGAGAGCAAGAATCGAGTGCAAAAGACGAAAAGTTAAAAATAAATTGTTTCTTACTTTTTTTTCCGTTGGAGGACAAGCGAAACAATGGCGAAACAGCAACACAATGTATTTGCTAATGGAACAAAAAGTGAAAAAAAAGAACGGAGAATGAAACAAAACGAAGAAGAAGAAGAAAATGGGACGTGTGCAGTTGATTATAAAAAAAAACAAAGTGCAAAAGACGTAAACTCATTCGATAGTAGCGGAAAATACGAGTGACTCGCCCACACTGTTTGCTATTGTTGTTGCAAAACATTTTCAATTTCGTTTATTCGCTTTCTGTCTTAAGCAATTTTTCCATTCCATTTTCTCCGCTTTTGTGTATGAAACGAATTCCATTTGAAAATCCAAGTCAGAATGACTCGCAGGTGCATTGAAACTCATACACAACGCAACAACATAACGAACACACTCACACAAACAAAAAAAGCAACGACAACGACGCGTAAAAAAAGAGAATGTGAGAGGAGTGAAAAGAGCATATACATTACACACAAAGTGAAAATGGAAGAAAAACTTTCGGCGTGAATGGTTTTAGCAAAAGTAACATGTCAAGAAATAAAAGCGACAGCCATATAATCAACAATGATACGGAGGAAAAACTGATCCATTCAATAGGAAAATAAACAAAACCAAAAACGAAATGGAACAAATGCTCCGTATGGCTGGCTGACTGACTGATGATTGCTGTTGTTGTTGTTGTTGCTGTTGCTGTGGCCCGTGATGAGAACGTTTGTATTGCCACAACCACCGTTGCCGCTGCCATTACCGTCGCTTTGCCGTTTGTGTTCGAATTCACTGAATGTCAAATTAAAAGAAATTTCACATGGACACACACGTGTAAAATGTGAAAATGAAAAGCATTTTGCAGCTTAAACAACAACATTACCCAACGAAAGCAATTACTTTTCTGCACGATGTGCCCATTCTCGCACGCCGTTTACGTCCTCATATACATGATTATCGATCAGTCGTTTTCACAGCTGAATGCATTTTTAATATGGACTCATAAATTAAGCGGGATGAAGCGAGACACGCCAAACACATAACGCTGCGTTTGAATAAAGCATTAGGTTTAAAGCGATACGCTTTCTACTAGCTTAGCAGCTACACCTACCCCTTTCTCTCCACGTGGCCGCTCAATGTGAATCCATTCGTTCGAAGCCCATATTCATCAGTTTCATAATTGTGCAAATAAATCGCTACCGTATTGACCTGTCAAACCGTCCATATTTTCGATTCGTTCAATTGCGTGTGAATTCGAACGTTTTCACTGCTGCTGCTTCTGCTACTGCTGTTGCACAGAAGTCAAACCATTTCAAATTTAGTGCAAGAAATAATGCATGTTCACCGATTTTACGCATACACCGATGCACCGATCGCTGCAGCTGTAATAAATCTCAAAACAAATACACCCTTAGTTAAAAAAAAAAAAGCACACACACTCACATCCACATAACCGCCAAAGACTCGACGAGGAAAAAAACACTGAGACGAATACAATTGCTTTCATTCATTTTCTTTGTCACTTTAAAGTTGTTGTTAGTTTTGAATAGTTTTATGCTAGTTACAAGTATAAACGGATGTTCTATCTCCCCCAATCAACCACCTGGCAACCATTGGCTGACTGTCCTACTTGAAACTTTTCAAAATGTCTGCATCCATCGTAAACTGCAACTCCATGCAAAGCTATTTTACTATTTTTAAACAACAACAAAAAAACAACAAGAAAATGTTCGTCGCTTCTATTTATTCTGTCAAGTGCATGACTTCTTAGTTGCATGTGCGTCAATATCAATAGTGTTGCCAACAATCGATTTTCATCAAGGAACTGGAACGCATTATTCTGGGCCTCGATAATGATGATAATAATAATAATAATTATAGTATTAATGAACTCTTGAAGACGTCAAAATAGAGAATATTTCGTTCTTTTATTCTTCATCGCTCTCTCTCTCTCTCTCTCTCTCTCTCTCTCTCTCTTCCTCTTCAGCAAAGAATTTATGTAAATACCCAAATCAAATATATGGATGTTGTAGCCCATTCGACATCGAACCACTCGACATGCTATTGAACCGTTCAAAATTGCACGTTAAATGAATAAATGCTGCGAAACATGCCCTATCAATCATAAGTACATAATTTTGTTGTTCGCGCTCCGCAATTAACTTTGGCCACATTATGTTTTCATGGCTGGAATTCGCCAACTTTGAAATGAATACAGCCGTCGAGCAGCAGTGTGAAGTAGCCAATAAAATCTGGTGTGGGTATTGACGGTGTATGTGTGCTCTTGCTACTGCTGCTGTATGAGCTTTTGAACAGAGGGCACGTGAACTGTGCAAATACAGTCAT